TGGTATAAATGCACGAGCGATCGAGTGGAGTACGCTCAAAATTTCGACTTGTCACTCGGCAGACTCGGTAAGCCGGCCACATTTCATTTCAGCGAGTAATTTTCCTTTTTCTTATCTTTGGCTGTTATGAGTTTTAACTTCATGTTCCATAATATTTTAAAAGTGAAGAATACATAAATAAGTAAAATGATGGTCTTGTTAAACGGATCCAGACTCGCATTTAATGATTCGAAACAGAAGCTTGCCGTGTTCAGTCCTGACAAACATTGCCTTAAAAGTTTAACCTAGTAAAATGTGAGCTTTATACCACTTTTTTACAAAGAGCTCTCTGAGATAATGCCGTAAAGGAGACCAGGCAAATAGCAAGCCATAAGATTCACACACTAGAGCTTCTAGTTTTGATAAAATCATTTTATTTCGCAATGCAAAGAAATCAAAAGATTTTAGATTTGCACTGAATTTGCTAAGCTCTGCCAACGTACCTCTAACAATTCACTCCAAAGCGACGGAATTGATATCATCCAAAGGAAGTTGTAAATACAGACATACATAGATATGTGTAAAATGACACTGACATGAATGAATGAGTCTCGTGAATGAATCTTTCACCCGCTCTCGACTTGACCAGTTTTGAGTAATGGCGGAGGTCTCTTCCGTTGACAAGTAGGCCATCTATCCGTCGCTTTTTTCTTTTTTTCTTCCCACCAATATCTGTTTTTACTTCCGTTTTACAGAATTGCAGTGAGCTGGCTTTCGTATTCGGTTTCAGCGTGAAGTTTGGGCCAACATGTTTGCCGCTTTTCTCCAGCCATCACCCACTTGTCGAGCTTCTGAGGCTTCGGCAACCTACAAAATCATCCTGTTTCCTTGAAGATATACGCGTCCCTTGTGATTGCAAACAGCAAATCAGTACTAAACATTAAAAGCAGAAGACGTTCCACGTCATTGTATTTAAAAAGACGTCCATACAAAGTTATTTTAGGTGGAATCCGTGCTAAACACTCTGCAAGTTCACTGAAAGTCTTCATTTGCAATTTTTGTTTACCCTCCAACGCCTCGCTTTCATGACTAGGCCCCAGTTTTTTCCCGCGTGTCCGCCATTTGTGAATACGGTGTATAATATACGTATACTCTGTTATAAAAGAGGCAACGCAATACTAGAAATTACAAGTTATCCCGTTATCATTGGAGTTGCTATCACAAGTTATTTTGCTGCTGCTAAAGAGCTAGTTTTTGCAACGTACTTTTGGTGCGAGTCGTCGACCAATTAGTACCGTAATACGCTCTTCTCACTTATGGTAATATGCCCGTCTAACCTCGTTTTTGAGTAAAAAGTCCTTTGAAATGCTAATCAGACGACGTTTTCGTATTTGAATTTCAAAAGAATTTTTACCCGTAAACGAGGTTAGACGGGCATATTACCATAAGTCAGGAGCCCTGCATAAGTGAGAAGAGCGTATTAGCGGAGCTATGAAGTGTTACAATAATATTTCACGAGGACGGACATTGATTTGAAGACAAACCCGCTGGAATCAAACAGGATTGATTATTGTTACTATTACCAAAGTATTTTATATAACCTAGTTTAGTGTTTTGATAAGTTCTGTTAATAATAATAATAATAATAATAATAACAAATTTCTTATTAGGCGCAAATTAACATCTGAATATAATCAAATGCGCCTTACAACTATAACTACCTGTAATAATTACAATAAAGTATACTTAAGAATAACCAAAAATTTATAACCTAAAATTTATCAATCTAACTATAACAGGCAAAAGCCGTCTTAAATAAATAACAGTTAAATGTTATTGTCTCGGTCAATTAGCTCAAATATCAATTATCGGATTTTTCAGTTGTCTGTTTCTTGCATCATAGGTTTATGCCGTTTAGATTATTCCACCTTTTAGTCTTGATTTTATAGCTAATCTAAGTTAACCTGAGATCAGGCTCAATTTTCGTTTCGCTTTGTAATAACATTCCGGCGGGCAAGGCGAAACGAAAACTGAGCCTGATACAAACCTTCTGCGAAACGTGTGCCGCCCACTTTTTTGACTGATTGACATTTGCCGAATCAGCCAACCAAAATTACTTCCGTTGCTTGTTTTTCTAGTATGCAAATTCTTCATGCGCGGGAAAAATGCAGATTGGCTGACTTAAAAAATAGCTTTTATCTGTTAATTTTTTCAGCTAAAAATTAAACAGTTAGCACAATCACATTTAACTTCTTGCGAGATTAAAGGAGATCTCGAAGGTTATTTCTGTTGGGGTAGAAGGTAAAAAGTTTTCGAAAAGACGGCGATATGATGTTCTACTAGTTTTATTATTTTGGCTAAGCGCGCTCGAATTTAAAATACTGAGATTTCTATTTTTCTGTTGCCTTAATATTTTCCTCCGCAATTTTCCCCGATTTCCAGTACATAAATCTTTAAAAATCTTGAAGAAATATATCGCGAACTTTATGAAAGGATATATAAATTATTTCAGAACAAACCAAACGAATTCTCAAGAGTATTAATGCAGCTGGTTTAGTCCTGTGCGTACACTTGCAATAATATTTGCGAATTTACTAGAGAAACAAACGTCTAAAAAAATCCAGGTAAATATTATCTGCCACTAACTGCATGCTCAACTGACCTGTAAACAAAACGGAAAACAATATTACAAACACACTTAAATTTGTAGTTCTCCTTAGTTGTGTTGTTGTTTTACTGCAGGTCTAAAAAGCTCGCTAAATTTATTAATCGAAATAAGCAAACAGCAAACAGCCAACAAGCGAGGACACCAGTTTTCCTGGTTTTTTTCTTACAAAAAGCGAAGGCAAACAAGAAGTCTGTTACCTTAAGACTAGCGCCACCAGCTATTATAATAATGCCTAAAATAATTCCTTGAACAGCGATGCGATATTTTTCGTCTAATACTTCACCGTTGGCGATTGAGGTTTCTTTAGCAGTGAGTCTCCGCTTGCGTACCCCATTCAGAGAAGTCATTCCCGGCCAAACTTTCAAATGAAACCAGTTTTAAGATGGACAGTATTTTGATTTGCACTCGTTTGTTGGTAAATCAAAAGGCACCCTGTTAGCGGTCAACAACTTGCAGAGGGAGTCAACTCCTCTACACACTCATGTTAGTTCCGTAACTAAAGCAAATCCTAAGAAGATATGAACAACCATATGAATTTTCTGAATTTCCATGGCACATATTAAGGCATATTTTCCTACCATAAGACCATAAAACAATAAAAAAGACAGCAAAATCGACCCTTCTCTCCGCCGACGGCGGATCATTTACGAAAACAACCACGCGAGGAATAAGCGCTTTCAACTTCCGGCGTTTCCGACAGCTAAACAGATCTTGCGGTATTGTTCTAACAGCCAATCACAAAGGTTAGAGAGTTTGTATCAGGCCCAATTTTAGTGGTAGCCGTTAGAGGGAACTCATATGAGAACCGCTAAAATTGGTCCTGATCTCAGGTTAATCTAAGTAGTTCGTATTCTATAATTATCCGGTTCAATTCGAACCTCAGTCTACGTCTACGTTTGCTACGTTGACTACGTCTGTTATCACGTTGTCTACCGTGTGTATTACTACTCGTTACCACTGCGATCTGTTACGTCGTAAACAGGCTACGAACATTGCTATTACATTGAATTGTTGTACACGCGACTGCTATTGTTATGAACTCTAAGGATCTGTCATTAAATCAGCTTTAATATTGTATCACGTAGAGTTCGAATCATCAGGGATTTTAAGAACCGAGGACGTGGTGGGTCGTCGAGGCGGCCGGAAGTGACTTTTCCACTTTCGAATGAAAAGCGCATGCGCATGGCGTTTTCTCCCGCTCTCGAGAACGCGGCCTGAAGAGATTTGGCGTCGTCTGGAAAACGTGAGTATTTAGCCTTGTTATTTAAAGCAAAACACTATAATTAACAGTCTATCACAACTATTCTGTCAATTGGAATTTAAAATTTATTGCCTTTTCAAAGGTTAGGCATCATTTTTGAAACGAAAAGGACCAAAGTTGAATAGTTTAAAACGTTTTGCTCCCTCCAGGTGAGCAAGCACATGGTGAAGTGAATGGCGTCGAGCAGATCTTCAAAGTAAGTCATCTAATTATCCTTGAAATGTTTCCCAAAATCTCATTTTCCTTCACAGTTGAAGGAAATTATCACTACATTCATGCGGCTATTCTCATGCATGATACAATTTAGTTGTCAGGCGTCTTATCATTCTACTTGGTCTTCGTTTTGTTTATGATTAATCCAACGAGCTCTGATGTGAAATATCAGAATAAAACTTTATCGGTTGTTCCATCAACCATGATCAACGGATGATCGATTTTAGCTTCATTTAGCTAAGACTACCGTAAAATTCCGAAAATAAGCCCCGGAGCTTATATTTTTCAAAGGCCCTTTTGGAGGCTCCTATATTCGGAGGGGCTTATGTACCAAGGGAAATTTGCGTTTCAAAATCGATTAGGCTAGCTTGTGGTGGGAAGGAAATTTACCATTTTAGTCCAGTCAAATTGTGGTTTAGCATCAAACTAATTGCAACAGAACTTTTTTCAACGCCATTTAATTGTTGGATGGCTATTTAACAACATACTAAAAATCCGCCAAAATCGGTTCGGTAAAAGATGAGAAAAATTGGAATTAGAGACTTTCAACTTTCACCACAGGACACTCAATTTCAGGAAGATCACAAAGTCAGACAAAACACCTGATAATTGTGTTTTTTTCCCTCAAGAATTTTCGATACAACATCGCTAATGTATTTTGGGTAGTTTTATCTTAAAAAAACGCCTACTAAATGTGTGAGGAACACTTGGGTCAGTGTTTCGTCTTGAGGGCTTTGCACATGTAACCCAGGCACTCGTCTGTCTTCACATTCTGTTTTTTAAGCTTGAATTTTTTTTCTTTGACGGTATTTAAAAAGGAATTATTAGTCAGCCTGTGTTAACATGGTTAAAAATATTAGTAATTGTTTTTTTTTTTTGCGCAATATCAGAAATGCAGTACGTATTTTGGCAGTATCACACGCTGGTAATTTTTTATATATCCTGCAGCACGAATGCAAATTTAGTAGCTGACTGATGATGAACAGTTATTTTGATCACCTTCGGTAAACAACTAAATTTGCATCCATGCTGCAAGATACGTGCGACTAAAATGTGTGCAACGGACGATAGCTTTGTATCAGTACAAACTGTTTATTTTAATAACCTATTCCCATTTTCTGTAATCGAGTTTTGTGAGAAGTTATGTTCAAACCTTAGACACAATATGTGTGACGAAATCAGGGACTCTTTTTTTTCTCGCGACATGCGCAACCTCCTTTAGGATTATGACTCCGTGTTTTACAATGTGATTGAATAAATATTCTGCTAAGGATTCCATCGATTTGGTTTTTGCTAGATCGTAACGCCATGCGCTTTTCATTCTGTTGTAAGGGAAATCCAGAAAACTAAGCGCAGTGTGATTGTTCTTTTTTTATCTTCTTCTTGTAGCGAGTCTCAGATTTAGTTTAGAGCATCTGTTTATTCAGTTTGTATTTTCTGCAACAGCCCTTCATTTCAGGTAAGATGAATAAGTAGATTAATCGCTCTGTGGTCTAAAGGCGTTTATATTTCCTCCTTGCATTTCTTTTGTGAGAACAACCCTGAACCTTGACCAGTTTTTTTCGTCAACTGGCAAATGAAGACTCTTTTTCTATAACGATCATGGGATCCTATACGTCTGAAAATAATTGTAGTTATCAATGAAGGCGCGAAAGTACTGGACATATGTACGACATTAATGGGCTTGCCTGACTTAGCTTCTGATGGCTCACCTCTTTTTGCGGAACCAATGTTTCTCTTCGGATGAGCGTTGTGTATCACTTTAACTTAGTGCTTGTTGACCTTCTGACTGAGTTGCGTGAATTATGCTCTGGGTGGGAAATTTCCATTACTCCACAGACTATTACAAGATATTTTTACATACGCATTGTTTTGGCTACCCAAAGTTAATCTTTCCCTTAAAAACAAGCTTCTCTATTATACTGTTTCGTTTTCTTGAAACAAACGTTTGCTGGAAACAAAGTTCTTATCCGATGAATGTCCCGTTAACCCTTATAATTTCTTAGGGGGAAGGTAACAACACTTTTCCTTAAATGAAAACGCATTTCCCTCTTATCAAACTCATAGGCATTGGAACTTAACCTGTTCAAAAACTTTGCATTGTTGTGCATTGTAAAGAATTAGTAAAACTATCCTCCCCTCTTCTCCAATTTGCTTTTAAAAGAAAACAAAAAGCTTCAAAAATTTGTATATTTGAGGATGTTGATACGTTGACGAAAATTAATGTGAAGGTAAACGCAAAAGCCAAAGCATTATCTTGCTGGATATTTGAAAACGTACCTAACGAAAATTACAGTCTTTTGACGGTGAAAAAGACCAAAAGGCGAAGGCAAAATAAGCCCTAAAATCCTGCTAGTAAAGAACGAGGAAAGGGAAAATAAAAAGAGCGAGGAGAAGAAAAAAAAGCAGTGGCTGCGCTCCTAGTTTTTATGTTGACTTCTTTGGAGATAGTTTTTGAAAGAAAAAGACTGTTTGAGGGGAGACGTCTATTTTGGCAGTAAGGTTATTAAAAAGTCCAGCTCTAATATATATAAATTTTTCTTACCCTTGCCGCTAAGAGAAATCTGATAAAAAAAAGATGTATTTTAAAAGCTAATGATTAAGTAAACGGCTTTCATTTTTCAGGTTTGAAGCCTTACAACTTAATTTCTTGTAGTTTTACAGCCAACAGTTCACTCTATTACTCTGTAAGCCTCCTGTTATTTTGGGGTTCCTTGAGTGGAGCATGGGTTTCCTGTGCAATAGCCAACCGTGTTTAATATTTATTTTGTTTGAAAAAAAGAAACTCTTCGTTGTTAATGTTTTTATCACCGAAAACTAAGTAGCAGTTATTTTTTCTTCTTTCACTTTTCCATAAAAGTAACAAACACATTTTGTGCATTTTTTGTTGAAACGCGTAATTTCAACTAACGTGGGTGTCCTGTGTTATAAGCTAAAAATATTTAACGCTTAATTTTGACATTTTGCACCGAACGGATTTTGGCGGAGTTTTAGTATGTTGCTAGATAGGTCACCCTTACTTAAATGGCGTTGAAAACAATTCTGTTGCAATTAGTTTGATGTTGAGCCTCAAAAATGCCTAGATTGACTGGACTATTTCTGCTTTGTTTTACTTTGTACTCGAGGGCAAATTCCAAGTACAAGCCCCCCCAGGGGGCTTATATTCGGAGGGCTGATTTAACGGAGGGTTATCAGTTGAGTCTCCACTTGATCCAGGCTTGATAATTCATGATGATCTGAGATTGAAATTCCTGATATTGAGTGTGATTAAAACGCAACTAAACAAAGCTTATTAAGGCTAACTTTCAAAAATTACCCACTATAAGAGGAAACATAAGTTTAATTAGTTCTTCACCCTGACTACTGTCATAAAGCGTAGCATTTCAAAAGCTAAGACTTTGACATTTCTGCTATTGTGTTATTTCCATTTTTTTATATCTTTGAAATTGTTACTAATGAGCCATGTTTTAGATAATACTCTGAACTGAAAACAAACCAAGAAAAATTAGAACTAAAAAGAGATAGTATTTGAAGTTAGATGATGTTGCCTATCTCATATGAAGTTTTGATAATGTTAATCTTTTAAATTATCAACGTTAGGCTTTGAATGCTTTATTCCACTGCTGTTATTCCTGAAAGTGCAAGTTATGGGTGAGGTCTCTCTCACTCAGCAAGGCCGCTCCTTAAATTTGTGAGCTTTAAACGTCATTAAAGAAAAATCTCACTTTTTTGAACAAGCATAAAATTAGCTTTGAGATTAACAACAGCATTTAGTTTCAATTCAAAAGAAACGGTTTTTTGGAGTGAATTTTATTCTAATATTCTCTTTGTTTTTGTTTTCATACAGCAATGTAATGTACTGGACTGAACAGCACAATATTATACTGTGCAGAGAAGTAGTATTTGAAAATCCCTACATATACAAAAAGGGGTCTCCCCAGCGCAGTGAAACTTGGAAGAAAATTGTAGATGTTCTTAACAAATGTCCTCCTTCACAATTTAACGTTGACCACAGAGCCATCCGGGACCACATCAATGTCTTGGTAAACAAGTACAAGAGAAAAATCAGAGCTGAAGAAAGAGCATCAGGAATATCCCCAGACGAGCCAAGTGAATTAGATGAGCTAATACAGCAAATCATTGCACTTGAAGAGAGTGCTCCCACAGATACATGTAGTAAGGATAAAGCTGACAAAGCTAAAGCAGAAGGTGTAAGAATGAAAGCTATGCAAAGGCTTTCCCAAACCAAAAAAAGGACGTCAGAGGAAGCCGAAGAGGGTGAGGACAAACCAAAACGAACAAGAAGAAAAACTGGAGATGCCATGGAGTTTCTAAAGGAAAGAGCACAGCAGAGTGCAGAAATTAGATCAAAGTAACTTGAGCTGGAAAAGGGAAGATAGGAACAACAACTTAAAGTGCAACAACAACAGGCTGATATGCTGAAGCTAATGCACCAGTAACAACTGCAAAATCAACAGCAACAGCAGCAGTTTCAGCAACAACAGCAACAGTTCCAGCAGCAACAAATGCTCATGATGCAGCAGGTCATGGGCGTCATGAGTAAAATGCTTAACAAGCAGATATTAAATTTCTATTTCTACATGTTTGCATGTTTAAGATTTACATTTTTACAAAACGTTGAACTCACAGTATTATTTGCCACCCCTTTGTTTAGATTTGCTTGTTGTAACATTCCCTGCAAATAACACACAACAACTGTTTAATCAGGATTTTATGCAAGATTTTATGTTAACTTAGGCATTGACAGGTGTTTTTGTTACAATCTTTTAGCTAAAGTAATCGACTAGTGATGTTGGGTCAAGGCCAAAGTAGTGGTATTGCGGTAGAGACATGTTAAAGCATTCTGCAAAAGTGCACAAACAATGTACATTTTTCCTACATGGCTAAGGCCAATTTTGAGTTTTTTTTTGTAATCGAGAAACTTGAAATAATTTATAAGGTCTCCAAACAACAGGGGCACCCAACGACAACTTTCGGAAGAATATCTGTTCGGAAGACGATTTGAGATCTAGAATTTTCGAAACATTTTTGTAAAATTTCTTGCTTGCCTGCCTCTCCTAGGATTTCCAACATGTAAAGAATGGTATAATTGCCTATTTTTAACGGATTTTTACACTAAAAAGGTCACCTAGAATTTTCGGGAGCCTTTTTTCTGGCTGAAATTTTCGAAAAAGTAAGTTTTGACCCCTATTATTTTCGGATCACTAGACTTTCAGCTAGGAAATCCGAACAGATGAAAAATTTTTAGGGGATAAAAATATGCCTATATCTACCGTTTAAATACTAAAATACGTTTAACAATGCTATGTTTAAGTGGTTTTGAACTATATTCTCGTTGGGTGCCCCTGAAACAACCATTCCAGACTTGTACGTACCGAACTCATAGATGCATTAAACTCTTTCATTTGTCTTGTTAACACCCCATTTCTGAAGGGACACTGCAGATGGGTACGGATCCCCGTAGATACACATCTCCTGTCCAGCTGGGGAAAAGGCGAACTGTGCCAGGTCAACATAGAGGCCAGATGTGTCCAGCATTCTCGCATCATGCATTCTTCCCTCTGAACAAGAGCCCCAAAAAATATTTTTTGAACCACAATCAGTCACACATAGGCTGGCTGACAAACTGTTACCTATATAGACCATTGATTAGCTTAGTAATTGAGTAGGCCAGGAACAACATAGGATTGACTGGCTATTATTCTTGCAGTCGAGGTACTTATAGCCTATAAGTCAGGATTTACAATTTATTTGTCAGTGGTGACAGGACAACCATTTCCTCCAATAACAACTGGGAGTGGGAGGTACTGAAAATACCTCTGATCTGAGAGACCGGGAAGAAGTCATCGAGAAACGTGAGCTTAACATTATGAGAAAAGAAATCAATCTAACTTTTAAGTTCATATAAGTGAACAAGTAAAAACAGCTACGGTACTATCCCAATATAGAAAATGAATGAATATACCCTTACCTACTGGTCCAAACAGATGGTCAATCAATCCACTTGGTAGGACCAAGAATTGAAATTTAAGAGCGTGAACACGCTTGTGGCCATTATAAACAACTCTTTGATTGACTCTTGGTTTTAATATGGGACGAACCGTTCCATCAACAAAGCCGAAACTGTTGTCCAAGGCGCCACCTATGTCATGAATTGCTTCAGAGCAAGTTTGCAGTAGGTAAGGAGACATAATGAAATGATTCCATTCGGTAATCCCAAGGCCATGAACATTGTATATCCATTCAGTGACTTCATTGCTAATCATGCTGAGCTCGGGTACTGATCGACCAAAAGTAGAAATCATATCAGACAACCTACATGGATAGCTAAAGCGCTTTAGTATAACACAAAGTCCTCCTGTTGAATCACAAACGGTACCATTCGGACATGTGAAGGTATCAGGCATCTGTAAAACATCCACCAGCAATGAGATGTCACTCTTTTCACATCTGAAGTCTGCCTTACACTCTGCGGGGTCTTTGTTTTCGAGGGAAAATTTTTCGTAATCCCAGTGGCGAAACGGAAGGTTTTGTGGAGTGAATTCTTCATACAGCACGGCAAATTCTATTAGCTTTTCTTCCAGACTAAGGAGCAAAGCTTCCTGTAAAGTCTTAAATGAGTTTTGAGTCATTCTTGTAAGGAACGATGAAAAGCGTTTTAATGTTTTCCAGACGTTTAGCCCCATTTACACTACACAAAAAAATGGGTCCGGACCCATAAAAAAGTTGGTACGGACCAGATATTTTTGCCGTGTAAACCTTCCGTACCATGTTTTTATGAAATGGGTCCGGACTCACTTTTTTCTGGTTTTGGGGCCATAGGCGGCTATGGCCCCAAAACCGAAAAAAGACGAGTCCGGACCCCTTTTCCTGATCGAAAGCGCTGTGTGAACGCATCTTCGTTCCGTACTATCCGTACCATCTTTTTCATGTGAGCCTGCCGTGCTTTACGGTGGTTTCGCGCATGTGTACTGTTCCTCTATTTTCTACACGATGGCGTCGATGGTGTCAAAAACGCAGAAAACGAAAACGATCGTGTGGACTGATGAAGAAGTTGGCCTACTATTAAACGTTTTTGCCGAAGAGACCATTCAAATAGGGCTAGAGAAAGCAAAATGCCCGAAAGACAAAAATGCAGTGTACCTGGAAGTTAAGAAGAAGTTAGAACAGCACGGTAAGTTTCATGCTAAAATCCTTGCTTCTGACAGTTTTTATGACTTTTATCAGGTCACTGTGTTTCATTTCGCTCTAATGCTATTTCGTTTTCTGGTTGTTTCAAAAAGGAATGATGAAAATTGTCGCGGCAATTACGGACAAATTGAAAAAACTATGTGCAAAATACAAAGATCATTGAAAGATATAAAGGATAGTGCCAAGAAGAGCGGAAAAGTTCACGGACAAAATGGACATAATTTTTAAAGATAACCGAACTATTGACCCACCGCATCTGTGGAGAAAATGGTTGAGTGTTTGTTCTTGTTGCTGTTGTGCATTTTATGGGTCTTTAATTTAAATAAGCTCTGTTATTTTTCAAATCATACACCAAATGAATATATTCCTTGTATCTTTACTAGATAACCTGTCAGTTACAAAAAAATAATGAGGATGGGAATGAGAGTTAACTAGAGGTTTTCAAACTGTGTGGTGTATGTACATGTTGCAGTTAATTTTTTGTTTCTGTAGTTAAAGTTTTTTTTTACTTTGTTTTTAGGTATGTGATGTATGATAACGAGTTTTAAACATGGAAAAATAAAAATTTAACTGAAAACAAAAATTAACTGCAACATACTCATTTACTGCTATAATTGACTTTTTGGCAGGAACAGAAACCTCAGAAAATAGCTCAGAACTGCATTCTGAGAAAGAAAGTGATGTAGTCTCAGACACTGATTATAGTAGTTCTGAAAGGAAGAGATCTAAGTGCATCACAGGTGCCACACCAAAAAGTTCCAAGAAAACAAAAGTGGAGAAGTCAATTGAAACAGTGTGTTTGAGTCTCCATGAATCCTCAGAAGCTGAGATGAAGAGGTAAATACAGCTTCTTAATTAGTTTCAAGGTTTTTAAAATGTTTTAGCAATAATTAATTTGGAGACTGTGTGCTAATTAAGGATGTGTAGACAGAATACAAAGGGATAACAAAACCCTGGTATTTTTGGAAGATTGAATAGAAAATGTTGTGACTGTTAAAACAATCATAATGGCAGTAATTATGACCATGATGATGGTGATGATGAAAAAAATGAAAATGATGTTCATTGTTGTCGTTTTTTAGACTCTTGCTGTATCAAGTTTTTTGTTACTGTTTTCTGGCACCCTTCACAGATTTGAAGAAATGGAAGAGAAGAGGCATGAGAGGGAGTTACAATTTCGACTTGAAATAAGAAGAGAAGAAAGAGAGCATGAATTACAATGATGATGCAAATGAGAGGCTGTAACTCTAAATGGCAACTCCAGGGCAGCAGGAATGTGAATATTGTATTAACGTATTTATTGTATTAACTTATTACCCTTTGTAAACTTGAGTCCAAACTCCAGATAAAGAAAGATAACATTCCGAGAGGGGGCAGTAAAGTTACCATTGTTTAATTTAGTTATCACTTAAGCACGTCAACCTATGAATTAGCTCGTTAGTGGGAGATGGCCAGTCACTAGAAGCATTGGTGAACAGCTTTGTCAGTGCTGATTGCCCTGCATCCCACTCACCACTAAAGAGCCTGTTCACAAGCAACAAAAAGAAGAATAGTTGCTGTTTTTATTATATATATATATATATATTTTTTTTCAATTAAGCATTTATTCGTTGAGTTACCTGGGAACAGCCAAAGAGCTGTTTATTCTTTTGAAATTCAATTGGTGGTTTGATTGTTGTAAATTAAAACAAACAAGCATTATGAGTATCATGCAAAACTAAACTAGACAGGTTCTATTTCTGTAATATTTCATTACCTCATGAAATAAATATAACGCAAGGCTTTTTAGTGGGGACCATTGTTGGTAACATTTTATTTTAGTCTCTTCCAACATAGCAATGTAAAGAAATGTCACTAATCTCCAGGCAAAAACAAAACAACAACAACAGTTCAGCTGTTGTTTAGTGTTAACACAACATTTCTTTTATGGTGACCATCACTGGTAAGATTTACCAATAGTTGGGTCTCTTCTAACATAGTAACATGAAGATATGTCACTGATCTCCAGTTAAATAAAAACAACAGTTAGCTGTTGTTCAGTTAATTTTTAAAAGTGCAATGACAATAGCTGGACGTCTACTCCAATTCCAAGTTTTGGCCTTCGGGTGACATAAAAAAAGCAGCAAGAGTGTCTCTTACATCAGATCCAGGCAGTTCGTCAATTGGTCCATCCTGGATTGCTTCCTCCTCAGGCTGTTCAAAACCTTCTCGTAACCACTCTACAAAATATGGTTCCTTTCTCATCTCACAGATGTTATGAATCACACAAGCAGCTGCTACTACCTCGACTGCTCCATCAACCTCCATATCCAGGCGCTTAGAGAATCTTGGAAACCTTCCTTTCCAGTGTCCGAAGGTATTCTTAACTGTCATCTTGGCTCTACTGAGACGATAATTAAAAACGTCTCTGAATCCTGGGGGTATTAACATTCTCTCGGCTACTTAAAAGTAGCCAATTTAACATGGGGTAGGCTGGATCTCCCAGGATAACCGGATGAATTTCCTGCCCCAAAATTCCCTCTTTCACATCTGGTGGACTAACCTCCCACTACACCCCAGAGCATACAGCTGTGAGTTCGAAAAGACCCTTGCATCATGTACACTTCCTGGCCACCCTACAACAATATCACGGAATAGGTAATTACTGTCAACAACAGCTTGCATCACAATGTTGTGGTACGATTTTTTGTTGATGTAACTTGCATGATTTTGCTGTGGTGTTGAAATTGGTATATGTGTGCCATCGATTGCTCCAGCACAAATGGGAAACCCTCATTTCTCCTTATAATTAGCTATCACGCGAGCAAGTTCATCTCCTTTAACAACTGACATATACTTTGGCTTAAGCTTTCTCAACACTGCAGCGGTTACCTTGCGGATGCAAATGCAAACAAACCCCCTGGATGAACCAAACAGATTAGAAAGCGTTCTATAACTTGCGGTTGAAGCAATGAAGTACAAGAACAAAGCCACTTTCTTTTCTACTTCAACAGCTTTCCTCATCTTTGTATCTTGCAATGTCAGTTCTGGTTTAAGTTCTTCAACAAGAAATCGAAATGTCGCCGGGGACAAGCGAAAGTTTTCGTACCATTCTTGGTCTGAAAACTCGTTCAATGCAAGCTGAAACCAAGCACCTGTTCTAGGAAGCTGCGATATGGTTCTCTCGATAGTGCATTAACTCATTATGATGGCCATTAAAAGAATTGACCACTTCTCCGTTTTCTTCTAAAACGGTTCAATGTTTCTGCGGGGTTTTCCCCTGAAAAGGGAGTCACTCTCCCCCAAAAAGGAAATGGTAAAAGAGAGGCAGCCATAATGGCAGTCATGTTTCTTTCCTTCGCGCACCCTTTTGTGTATTTACCACTGAGCGATAAGGAAAGATACCGAAGGCTCAAATAAAAATCTGGTCCGGACACCGAAAGTCAGCAGTGTAAACAGTGTGCATTAGGGCTCTTTTCAGTCATAAGCCTAACCTGATTGTTATCCGTGTAAACGGTTTTAAAAAAATTGGTCCGGACCCATTTTTTTGTGTAGTGTAAATGGGGCTAATTGATCGCGTTCTTGAGTCTTAACTACATATTTCCCGCGCTTAGAACGCGGTGCTCGCCCCAGCCCCACTCTCGGTCCTCACGTTTTCCAGACCACCGGGTTGTCCGTTCTTAAAGTCCCCGATATCTATCGCCTCGCACTGTGCTGCCCCTGTTTTTGTTGATTTAGATTATTCGCGAACTCCAGAATTTCAGCATTTACAGTGTCTAGTGATATGGAATACATTAATCAAGTGGGAGACCGCTGAACTGGATTCTTTCTAGCACAGAATGATAGAGCTGAGTATTCTGTCAAGAAAATAGCGAGGAAAAGATGGAAAGCAGCCAAAAAAAAGCTATAAATTTTTCTAAATATTCCAAAATTTTCTAAAAATCTTAAAATTTTCGAAACATCTCGGAAACTTTTAAATATCTCAAAAAATATCCGGCCCGGATATTTGTGTCAGGGTCTACTTCTGTGCTTTGAAATGTTGTTCTTTTCGTTACAAATTTGTCGCTTTTGCCAAGAGCAACTTTTCGTGTGTTGCCAGCGATTAACTTGTCCGTTTTAATCCCTAACTAGCGACTTTCAACTGCTTTTTATTCACCTCAAGGGTCACATTGTTAAGTCACATTGCACTTGAAATTTCTGTAGGTACCTTTTTATAAATCCAGACAGATATATATCTGACTGGATTTGTTAAAACGTGGCTAAAGAAATTTCAAGTGCATTTTAACAATTTGACATCTAAGTGGAATGGAAAGCAGTTAAAAGTCACTGGCTGAGGCTTAACAATGACAGCATTACTGCTGGCAATAGACGGTAAAGTTCTCTCGCAGAAGTAACAGGTTTTTGCACTGAAATAAACAGCATTCGAAACGTCCAGAAATTGTAATCTTCTAGTCAGTCAAACCGTGACGCCCATAGCTCAGTGTCGGCCGAAAACAGATTAAGAATCGACAATCTTTGAGCACAGAATAGGCTTTCTAAGACAAAATCACCTAAACTAAACACTCACGAAGCGTTTTTATGCTTGGCGCAAAGTATTCTGGTAATACGAGCTCAACCGCACATACCTGAGATTTGTCTGTCAACACTTTCGGTAAATCACAATAAATGACTTTCGCGGCAATCACAACACTTCCCAAAACCACTCATAATATTTCCACACTTAACAGGGGGGAAGCATCGTCAAATTACTCCGTAAAACTCTCGATTTTCTCCACATAAAATCGTCACATCGAACTTTTCTCGACTCACAGTCGCTTTTTTCAAGATCCCTGGTGTAAACCAGCGGTTGAAAAGGAGACATACAGGCCCCCCCTTCCAAACAATTTTTTACTAAGTCTTTGGCCTGGTCAGAAATCGGCGTCAATTTCCATCTCGCCGAATAGATTTCATTCCTAGAACCTACTTGGTGGGCCCAAAGACTTGTTACTGCCAACAACAAAGCTCGCAATAGTAATCTTTCCGTCTCAAGCCCGGGATCAGTCTTTCACCCGTGTAGCCCGAAATGAGACAAAATACGAGAAGACATTGGACGCAGCATACTTAGACAGTCGTGAGAATTGTTCGTTCCGGAAAACTTTGCTAAAGGCAGCCAAAAAAAACAGTTCTGCCTAATAATCATCAAAGTAAATTTACTACAGCCTATCCGGTACCGATTAAATAAATAAAAGTAACTATGAAAAAAAAAGAAAGAAAGAAAAACAGAAGGAAGGTATATAACAGAGATTTCTATAGCCATGTTTAAGTATAAATTTCTGGATTTCTTTGCATAGGTTGAAGCTTGTTCGCTTTAATTTTTTGGTTTTAAGTAATTAAAAGTATATAAATGGACGCTTTGCTGTTAGCCTTGGCTAAATCTATATATTAGTCACACTAGGAATGGCAAGCTTTCAAGAATTACGGTCTTCAATCTGAACTGAGATAAGTCTTCGAAAATGTGTCGACAGTTATTTCCATCGACAACCACCGTTTCTTTGACGACGGCACAACCTTAATATACAGATTGTTCGACCAGGGAAGAGGTTGAATTGTCTCAAAAATCACAATATAATTTCCCATAACTATTTCGTCTTTGGCGCATCATAACTCTCAAAAGAGGGAGACATGTGCGTATGAGTTAAAAAACCACGATGTTTGTACGCTGTCTCTGCGTATTTCAAACCCACGTGAACTCGACTTTCCCCATCTATTTACACCGAGAAAAGCGGCTAGTTTTTCCAGTTCAGCCAGCACTAAAAACAGAAAGCGCACTTCGACTGACAATTGACAACTGGATACTCCTCATCCATTAAAAACTAGATGACAATTCAGGCAAGATCATCACCCAGCCTAAACTGACTTGCACTAATAGGATGAGTATCATAAAATAGTTGACAATCGAAGAGAAAATTATAGTTTGTGAAATATGCAACGGGTAACTTCACTGTAAAAAGTTTGCAGCAAACATCTATAACTTTGGTGAAATAACGATAACGTCGATGATCATTGAGTGTCCAAGCCGAAAACAATTTAGCTTTATTTACAATCCACTGTACATCCGTTTTGATTTGGGATGAAATCAAATATTGGAGTATTTGAAAGCTTGATGTCATCAATATGTAAGACACCTAATAAAGGAAATAAAGAATAGAGATTAACTTGCAGAATAATGAATAGTTGCCGCAAATTTCCCTTTCGTAAACGGTCGCTGCCATTTTTAAGACACTTCGAGATTTTCTGCCTGTTATTGAGAGTGTTTCTATTAAAAAGAAAGAACATCACAACCAAGGGTCGTCGTGTCTTAATTTCGTGTCCTAATCTCTCTCCCCTACCACTACACGACACAACCTTAATATCCAGATTGTTTGACCAATGAAGAGGTTGGATTGTCTCAAAAATCACAAAATAATTTCCCATAACCAATTTTTTGCCTGTTATTGAGAGTGTTTCTATTACAAAGAAAGAACATCGCAACCAAGGATCGAACCCGGACCTTTCGTGTCCTAATCTCTCTCTCCCCTACCACTACACGACCACACCCACACCCACCAAAAAAACTTAAGCGTGAACGTCGTTCTTTTAATCCAGGGAATATATTACATCTATCACGACTGACGGCTTGGTTACCAATGGTGGCATCGACCGTTCACGTTGACTAAAAATGGGCATTTACATCGTGTACCGGAAACAGATGATGTAAAACAAAAGAACAAAAACCACGAAACTATACCAAGCAGATTTTTACGTGATCAGAAAACAAAGAATTACTTTTGCTTCACGTCATTTGTGTTTGCTACGCGAAGGTTTGACCCAAAAATGAAATATGCGCTGGCGAGTCATTAGGTATAAGCGACAGTCCTGTTTTCTTTTCGTGCGTCACCGCACGTCAGCTCAGACATGATTTTTTAAAAAATAATCATTTCGTAATCAAACGAGGAGTCATTCAAGAATAGAGACGCAAACCCAAACTTTCTTTCCTCACAACCTAACTGAGTGGTCTTTTTCGTAGAAATTTAAGCTATGTTCACACGATGCGGCCTATTACCGGATCAGTATAAACACGTGTCTGATATGTTTATTCTCCACTTTAGAGATCGGCGCGGCGCTCGCTCCGTTACAGAAATCGCGCCTAAATCATCGTTCTAATATGTGAACAGAAGCCCAATCCAGTATGGTTTTCTGAACATAGGGAACAATGATTATTAATGCACCCTAGTTATAAGTATTGACTAATGTATACTTACCATCATCCATACTACTCAAATAATGTGACCTGGGATTTGCAGAAGCTCCAGATGCACTATCACTAGACTGAGAATTGTCTGAAAGGTTCAAATTGTACTGCACATCTCGTAACTGTGCTTGTGTACCATACTCATACTGCCGCCTGGTGTCTTTAACATACTCTGTACAGTGGTTAGGGTGGACGGAATTTGAAACCAAACATTCCCCTCTAACTTTTCCTACTACAGTCGGAGACATTACGCTTCCAATTTGTTCGCGTGTGTTTGATAATGTTCTTTTTCTCGATTGCTTATCAGTGGGTGTTTTTATTGTTTTTAAAACTGGACTTGAACTTGGTAATGACGATACATGGCACGATCTGGTACTAGAATCAACCGTATTTCGACTTCGTCTTCTTGCCTTAATAAGGCTTTTTATCTGAATGCCTGAAACCTCATCCTTGAAGTCCCATTCATCCGAAGAATCGTAATCAACAGGTTGATGATGTTCTCTGGTAAATTCTTCCATCTGTTAGAAATCATTAAAAGCAAAACATGAGAAAATCTACGGACACATGTAAATTACGCTATTTCGCGCCACTGTATCAAAAACGCTTCTCACATATTTAAATATTTTGCCTAACTTTAGGCTTAACAGATCACCATGTCTTATGTGATGCTGAGGGATCTCGCTGTTCCTGCCGAAGTTTTGAAAGAGACGCAACTAATCGATGACATCAATGACATCACTGAGTAATCAATAAGTAATCGATGGGTAGTCTGTTGATTATTACCATTGATTATATCCGATATTCAAGTAATCGATGAATAATCGATAGGCCACAAAACTCTCAGTCATCGATTCATTAGTCATTGATTAGTTATCGAATAATACAATAATATTAGGGCTAGAAGGGTAATGAATTGTTTTAGCTACTGTAGTTATGGTCAATGCCGCTGCTTATGACGGAAATCTTCCTAAGCCGAAGCAGCAATTCTTTGCTGAAAACAGCCACCGCATGGGATTTCCAACCATCTGGATTATTCCTGTGCTAACTAGAATGCCTCAGGTTACTGCCAAAGAGAGAGGACGCTACCGATTCACGATGTAAAGTTAGGTTATTACTGTTCTCCCGGTTTTGTTAAGAAACGTTTAAATGTTTGAATCGAAATGAGATACATTTGTGGGCATTACCACTCGTTAATATTTTTCCTAGATCAAATTTACTCAGTTAGTTTCTATAAATTTGCATAAATCGAAACAACCAACTGAGACGCTGTAATCTTTTACCCGGTAGGCACTCTTCGGTGGCCGTTTCTCAACAAAGACACAGACTCTAGTAGCCAACAGAGTAAGACAGATAACTCCACCTTCTGAAATTTCGTTTTTGATATGTCAGTTACTGTCCAGTAAATAATTTTGATTTGCCGTTCTGTTTTCGTCCTGGCCCATATACATTGGTTTTCTACAGGCAAATTCAATTCCTATTTGGTTATTATCGTCAAGAACCATTAAAGTAAACTTTTATCACCGGAAATAAGTTAAGAAAAAAAATTGCTAGAAATTGTATGAGGTCTGTAGTCAATGACTAATCGATGGGTAATCATAAGATAATCGATGAGTAATCGATGTCATCGATGAGTAATCGATAAGCCACAAAATTTTTGGCGATCGATTAGTCATCGATTACCACTGATTATGGTCAATAATCAATGACTAATCACTGATCGATTACTCATTGATATTATTCATCATCGATTAGTTACGTCTGGAAATAGAGAGAAGTCGTTACGTCACGTTGCCATGGTAGCAAAATTTCTGGATGACTACAAAACTGAAAACGTCACTTAAAAAGTGATTTCGCACTGTTTCAAACTTCATCGATTTTATTCAGTTTCATTTAATTTGTAAAATATTGGCGAAATTTCTGGGGTTGAATCCGAAAGGACGGCATCTAAGTTTACAAAAGGAAAAGAAAATTCTTATGTTGTGTTCACCTGTGCTCCATCAAGCTGGCGTGAGAAATTAGGAAGTTTCACGTCGCAGCCGTGCAAAGTTGTTGTTTTGCTAATCTAAACCTATTGCTTTTCTGCCATTTTCGTTACCGTCGACATCGTCGCTGCTTAAGCTCCCTACTGTTGTGATCCAAAAATTTTGCTACCATGGTAACGTGACGTCACACTTCTCCTCTCTATAGCTGCCATTTATTTTAATCTCTGCAGGACTTTTAATCCAATCGTCAAATCAGGCGACTGAAACATAGCCTTAGCTTTCCCTTCTATTATACAAGCTGCATGACGGTGTGATTTATTCAAAATTATCCCTTGAGGTCTAAGTATAAGCTGTAGACAAGAAAACGTTGTACCACATTCAACACTGACATTATCATGCTAGCCATACTAAACCATAACAAAAAAAGTTAAATATCGGTAACCCAAAAGAAAAAATACTGCCAGTGGTTTCTTTGAATTACTTTGTGTTTTGATTGTGGAGAGCTTATGGCCCCTACATCTAGTACCAGCAACTTAACTTAACCGCACTTATACGTCCCAAAATTTAGACAGTGGTGCCCAAATGGTCGGTTGGTTGAGTACATAAAAAATGTCACGAGCCAAAATCTGAAGAAACATTTTTGCTTATAACATCATTCAAAATATTTCTTCATTTCTAATTGGCTCAAATCCCTCGGCTAATTTTTCAAAACCAGCTACTTATTTCAATACGCTTGCGATACTCGATAAAATGATATCAGTGGTCCAGCAAAACTTCAGAAAAAGGCACGGCAACCGGGAAGCAGCTAAAATTTGCCAGTTTAGCTTAAACTTTGAAACAGCTTCTTATTTTCCAAAATCTATAAAACAATTCTGAACACTTGGGCAAGTAAAATAAGTCAACATTCAGAGTCCTCTCTGGAGACAAAGGTGTCTTATCGCTCCAACTGCATGTCATGGTATACGACGTTTTATATAAGGAATAAGCCGACTACCACTAAATACTTTTACCTACAATGCATTTTTTTCTTCAGAAAATAAGAACCTATTTAACAACCTAAATAGCCTAAATTTATGCTAATTACCATTTATATAAGCACCTGTTTAGGCTAACTTGGAAAAATCCAGGTTCTTATTTTCGGGTTTTTACTGTTAATACCACCTTGAATCCTGGATTTGCCGAGCAAAAAGGCAAATGAAGACGGGAACTTTACATCGATGAAGCCAAGCATGTTTTAGCTGTTTTGAAAGTGTTAATCATTTTGAATAAACAATAAAACAATCACTGAATTCGGATTTCGTATCTGCTTAATTTTCCAGATTACACGAAAGCTGAATTCCAAACTTTATTATTATCGACTGTCTTATTTATATCCATTCTGAAAAGCTTCTGACAATATTGACAATGAAAAATGTTTCCATGAACCACATTTACAAATATAATTTTACTGTTTTATGTTTACCTGTTTTATATATCTTAATCTGCGCCGCCGTTAACAATGAATAGGCCATTTTACAGTTATGGATGGAAGCGAGGCTGAGGGTGACCTTGTTTTAATAGAAACCTTCCTGCTTTATTATGTAAATCAAGTTATACTTATGCTTACTATTATTTTTCAAGAACAATTTCCATAACAAAGCAAAGAAGGTTTGTATCAAAACAAGGTCACCCTCACCCTATTTTATCCTTACCGACACATCCTGCACATTTTTTATATGTTCATCACAATTCAATGGTTGGTGCCGTGACACTGTAGTTTGCTTTCTCGAGGCCTAATGGAGATAAGAGACGCTACCGTCAACGCAGCATTTCGCAAGTATTTCCGCACAGCAATAAAGCTAACAACAAGATCATTAGATTATCTTTTCAAGCTTTCAGAGGGAAGGTAGCGAAGAACATTATAAACAAACGCTCATTCTCACTTACTTCCAGAAATTCTGAAAACATAGGTAGTTTTAATTGTGCATATTTAGAATGTCAAAACATCCTTCCAAATTATCAGAACTAAAGTCTCCTGAATGACAAGCTGAAATTCAGCTAGAATACTAAATGATCAAAGGTAAAGAAACATCCTTTTCCACTAACTTTGTTAAGAGTGCTCGCAGCAATGCCCGATTCATCAGTGAACTCCCATTCATCGACACTCCTTCCGATCTGTTTTCGTTCCACCTATATGTATTTTAAAAGGTAAAAAAAGGTAAGGAGTCCTTATTTTACGTCAATTGCTCGAAATAGCCATCTGACTAACAAATCTGACCGATGGTTCGCTCGTTTTACCCCCTCCCCCCTCTCTCGGGGTATTTAAAGCTACACGGAAAGGAAAGAAGTTGAAAAAAGGATTTAAGGAATCCACTCGCGAGCTCCCGCACAGAAGACCGCACACTAACCAACTGTGCTAATCCTTCCTCCTGTTAGGATTAGCACAAATATACAAGCAACGTGAAATGGGTACATCGCATATACCTTATTCTGTTTATCTACATTAATCCATGGTCCGAAAGTGATGACCTTACCCCACATTAACTATTTGTCCGTTTCTCTAAGGCCCCGTTCATTCTTCTATTTATCTAAGGCAGCGTTCGCCGTGCTCGGTACCCAAGTACGTACAAGGTCGAGACCTTGTTTTCGGGCACATGCCACACTAGTGGGAACCGGGTCCTTGTGTGCACCCTGTTTTAATTTTATTAGTATAGGAGCAGTCCATTGCTTTGTACTCGTTGCTAAGGTCATGTTTCCAAATGGCGTCTGACAGGGTGAATTGACTATGTGCACATATCGGGTACTCAAGGTGTCAACAAAACACCATTTTGTACCAGTACCAGGCACTGATTCCCGGGCACCAAGGGGAAAGAAAGAAAGCAAAAGCACCAAAAGTACAAAGACCACAAAAACCCGGTACTTTCAATAGCAAGCGAATCTACATCAATATGGATAACTGTTCAAGAAACTCCAACGTAACGGCGCACTGACAAAACTAGTTGCTCCAAACGAAACAAACAAAACAAAAAACAAGCAAACAAACACCACTAAGAGGAAAGACCTCACACTGCAGGACCCCCAACACTGCGTGGTTTTAAACAAAGATGGACTAAACTGCGCCACAGACGAAACTAAACTCTCGTTAAGTCCTTGTTTTGGGCCCCCACCGGTGAACAGGTGTACGCGCCATGATTGACCAGTTAAAAAAGCCATTGTCAATTTGCCAATCAGGATGAAAGGAAATTCGAAACGGACTTCCGGTAATTCGTTGAGTACGTCGGGGGCCCAAAACAAGGATCTTGACGCTGCTTCACACCGAGGTTAAATTACGTCTGCGAGGCAGGCTAAGGTAGACTAGCTATTTAAAAGGAAAATAGTTTTCAGGGATGGACGCTACCATAGAAACTAAACAAGTCTGAAATCCCTCCCAACACTTATGCCGAAAACATTCGACAAAATACATAACACCCTCAGTACAGTAGAAAATAACGGATTATTATTACCTGGACTTGGTAGTTGTTTTTATTTCTTTTTTTCTTTTTATCCAACACCGCGGCGGCTTGTACGTTACTCCTATAAAATCTTGGACACTTTTCCAAAAAACTATCCATTTCTGCAAAAGTACACAACCAAATTATATAAACCAAAAAAACTACAGAGAAATCCCGAATTTTCGAACCTCCGAGGGAAATGAAAATTTGTTAAAAAAATCAGGAACTCGAAAAATCGAAGGTGACATCAAATCACACCTGTTTTACCACTTAGCTTAAATCATTTTCATATTTAGCTCGATTTATTGTTTTTATACTTTTTTGTGTTACCCTCACTAAATAAAGTGTGTTTACTTACTTTGTTGATTATATTCCGTTTTAAACAGTGACGATTAAAGCCAAACTATCTCGACAAGTTTTAAAGTCAAAACTCTACCCCTGAGTCCGAGCCCTTCAACCAAGTCACATGATATAACCACGTGATATCATGGCGTTACACGTGACCCAAATCTAAGCTTCTGAAACACGTTTAACACTCTTGCATTTCACTCTTGCATCTACTACCTTTATTTATGAACAAAACTTACATGTGCTGTAACTTAAAAGATTTAACCCAACTTAGCCATACAAAAAACAGCACTGTAATTGATAAACAATATGCGCGTTAATTTTTCCGGGACTTCAGACTACATCTTCTTCCATTTATAAGTTCACGGTAAAAAAAACATTTTAGGATTAGTTAATTTATTTAAAATAACGGGTGGTTAGCTCTTGTTGAAAGCTTATACAGGGGTGCATGTAGCTAAAACCGGTTTTTGTTGGTTACTGAAAGGAAGACGAATATCGAGAGGTTCCAAAAATCAAGGGGTTTCGAAAAATTGGGGGTAAAATTACAGACCAAAGCAAATCTAACGGAAACAACTTTTAATTCGAAAAATCCTGAGTTCCGAAAAAACAATTATTCGAAAAACAGGGATTCCATTGTACTTGGAAGGAAGAAAGAGACCCTTGACCCATTCACTCCTAGGAATTTTGGTCCTTGTCTAGCTTTAAAGAACCAAAACTATCCAAAACGGGAAAGCTGAACTTTGAACATTATTATTATTATAATTATTACCGTCGCTATTACTGTAATCGAATGGAGATCAGGTGACAATGATGTAACTAATGATTTAGTTCTTCATCGAATTTTAGAACATAAGCTACGTGCAAGCGGATGCAACTTAACAATGTTGGGAGTTGTTGGCCAGCAATGTTGCGTCCGTTTGCACGGAGCAAAAAGTTTTATTGGTTTCAAACATTGCGCAACAACTCCCAACAACACCCAAAAACATGCAACAGGGTGTGCAAACGGACGCAACATGTAACATTCCACAATGTTGCGTCAGTTTGCACGGGGTTTTATTCGCATTTTCTCTGGAAATGCTCTATTTCCTTGCTACGTATACTTCGGGTACTTGCCTTTCACAATTAAACACAACTTTCAAATTTGAGGGAATGTTTTCAACTTTTCAAAAACTCGAAAAACTGAACGAGCGGGCACTCCGCTAAGTTTATCAGGACAAAATCTCTACTTATGAGACACTAGTTGTTAAAATTGATATAGCACATAAGCAAATCAAAGACTTGCAAAAATGTTAAATACAGTGTTTGGAGCAATTGCGAATGGAAACGTACCTACAAGTATTTCCGAGTTATTGACGGCACGTAATTTCAATTATACTTTACGTGGTGATGCTATTTTAAAATTACCTAAAGTAAATTCAACAAAGTATGGGATCAAGTCATGGACATACCAGGCTGCCCGACTATGGAATACTATTCCAAATAATTTAAGAAATTTTGATAGTTACCACAGTTTTAAACGTGGAACTAAGGAGCTCGTTTATAGTTTATAGTCCCTTTCGCAATTTAACTTAGTTTTTCTTAGAATTTAAGTATTACATAGTTTCTATAATCTTATTGCAGTTTCCATGTGCTACATCATTTTAAACACTTTTATAAAGTTGTAAGTTTATTGATCCTTATATTCGCAATTTAACCTAGTTTTCTTAGTATATAAGTTTAACAAGTTTATAATTTTATGCAGTTTTTTCCATATACTGTATCATTTTAAACGATTTTATATAGTTTCCAAGCTTGTTTTTAGTTTGGTGACTGACCTGTAAACTAGCTTTATAGCTAAGTGTTAGTCACGTTACTAAAGTATGTGTGTATGTATGTAACTTTTCAAGCTTACACTTAATTTATCGAAAATTCTTAATTATGACAAATGCAAAACCACCGTAATCTTTTCCAAAATCTACAGTACTATTCTTGCCTTCTGTGGTTTACAGTGTTCCTTCACGAAAGATCCTAGAGGATCTGGGTTTTCGCCATGATCTGGCCCTATTGTCACACAGTATACAGAACATGAGGGACAAGAGTGCGAAGGTTGGCCCGAAGACCAGTGCACAAAATTATTGCCAAACAGGGTGATGGTCATCGGGGGTAGATTGAGGAGGGAGATGAGTTCAGGTACAGCAATGTACCATGGGGGTATTTTGAGTATGAAGGGAAAATGAGGCTGGCAGACATACAGGCATGCATTGGGAAGGGGAAGCAGGTGTTAGTGATGCTGAGACCACCATTATGGCCTTCCATATCACTTTTAGCTACAACAGGATAAAGTTGAGAATCTTTGGGTCAGATGAAAAGGCCACGCTCTTTTCGGAGTAAGAGTAAAATTTTCTTATCCACTTGTCCCTCGGCCAAGCACTATATTAAATTAGGTTGTCCAAAACCCAAGAGTTCGTGTCCAAAACGTTTTACCAGGCTCCTTAGCCAAATGGTGCAAGCTCATTAAAACAAATGAAGTATATGAATATTTGACCTTATTTTGTCAAGTAGGAGGTTTGCTTTCATGACTATACAATAAACCTTAATTCCACTGTAATTTCAATTTTCAAATGTTTTTGTTTTTTTTTTCTATTAAAAATGAGCTTGTCCCATGGACAAGTCATGTCGAAGGTTCACATGTCCGAACTAAATTTCTACCTGTCCCGGACAATCGGACATACAGGTTTTGGTGCCCTGCTTTTGATTGAGGAACTGAAGCAGAAGTTACAGGTGTATATTTACAAGTGCCCAAGGAGCATTCTGTGGATTTGGTGATGCAGAAGAATTCGAAATAAAGAGTTGCAGAGACGCAGCAGCTTATAGAACAGGAAATAAAAGAAAGAACAAGGAAATGGATTGGCCTGCACAAATTGAGGAGACCAGATGGATATGTGACCAAAACAGCCCTTACATGGAACTCACAGTGGAAGCTTAAGACAAGGAAAGACCCTAACACACTTGAAGGCACACAAGGATGTTGGAAATTGAGAAGAGAGGCCTTACATGGCATGAGGCAAAAGTCACTTCTTAGTCAGAGCATTAGTGGAGAACCTATGTTTCATTAGAAACAAAGAGGACTGATAATAGTGATTCTTTGTCTTCACACCCAGTTCCTTGAATCAACTTGTTTGTAAGGTTAAGTAAGCCTTGAGTCATGTCTTAATTCCTGACACTTTTCTGTAGATATGGGTTTATGCTGCTAGAGGTTATGCTTGTACTTGCCTGATCAATTTTAATCGTTCTTCAAAATAATCATTTTAAACAGAATACCTTCTTGGTATGCTGGATGAATGAGAATATGAGATCCTGAAATGTTGCTACTTAAATAGCCCATGCCACCTGCAAGGGTATCTTCAATTAATGAAGAGTCAAAGACAGTTAATTCCTCATTCTGGTATTTCAGTGACTCAAAAACCCTGCAATGGAATGAGATGTTGTTATTACAAACAAGTTATTACAAACCAGGCAAGTTGAGAGAGAATGATTTTGGAAAACAAGAAAATATAATGAAAACTAAAGTTTAGTTTAAAAGTACATGAAAAGAAATCTAAGTCTTAAGGTGGCAATAACTATATAAAGATGAAGAGATCCAAACTTCATGATTTCAATGTGGGGCCATGGCTGCAAATAACCTAGCACAAAAAATCGCAACATTTTTCTATGATGGAGAAAGTATACTACCCACTGTTTAATGCAGATCAGAACTTGGGAGTTTTACATTGCACAATATTACAGCATTAACTATGCATTTGCAATGAGTTGAAAAAGTATGTAAATTTCCACTTTTTGAATCTGAAACAGCATAAATTTGACTGTCTCCAAACACTGTGATTGCTGCTTAGACCTATATTGTTTTAACATGCACAGACTTAGCCTTACAGTACAAACCCAAGAAAAGAGGCTACTTTACTGACTCCACAGTTCCACCTACCAAAAAGTATCTTCTGCAGCAGCATTGCTGCTAAACATATAGTCTGCATCATTTACATCATCTTGTTGAATTCCTCCATGCATGACTATATTATGTGATAAAATCATACCAAGAATTGTTAAAAACCCAATAATTTAACAAACACAAAAACCTACCCTATGTTTTTCAAAACTACTTCTCTCAGCCCAGGGAGCAGTTAACTACTTTTTCAGATTGTTATTTTCGTGTTACTAAAACACGCAATAAAGCACTGCTTTATTGATAAACTGGTCACCTGTTTCCCAAAAAAGATCAACAGGATTTATGTCTGTCAGATGAGTACTGAGGACAGGTAGTGGGTGGTTAACTCAGGCACCTGTTTCTCAAAAGTCCTGGTAACCTTACATCCCCCAAGTCAAATTTAATTCTAAAGAATAAAAGCATGGGTCCATGCATATTTTGTTAACTGTTATTGTTATCATATATTATTCAATCATTATTATTCAATTATTCAATCTCAAATATAAACGACAGCTTTCTGGGTCCAAAATTTTATTATTGGGACTTTCGAGAAACAGGCCCCAAACATTAAGATTGCACTGATACACAATAGAGACGCGAGGAGGTTTTGCATGCACACAATAAAACCATACATTAATTCTGCCCCCCCCCCCCCCCCCCAAAAAAATGGGTGCATTGTCCTTAAAGACAATAAGAAAATAGTAAATGACAAATTAAACGACTGCAGAGGCATTGTAATGCCTCTATCTATAAAGCATTGTTTCACTTTGTCATGTAAAATAATTTCTTCACAAGTGTTGCACAATGGAGACCAGGCAGGAAAAGCCCATTGAGACTTACATCACTGGTAAGGTGCGATCAAACATGTAAAGTTTGCTTCTTACCGATACAAATCCTACTAAGATAAGAGATATGATAGGCAATATTAAACAAAATATATGTTCTGCTGAAATAAGGATTTACATACCTAGGTTTCATACTGTACATGACGGAAAACACATTCTATGATGACCTTAGGGCCATATAATACATGGTCTCAATTAGAGTTAAGTAAAAGACAAATGGACTCTACAGTCTTTCAAGTCCAAAATAGCCTCTTCCAGGCATTCAGGTAGTTGAAAGTGGCACAAATGGAGAGCGAAGGGGAAAAAAACAGAATTTAAGAAAAGAAGAGGGGAAGAGGAGGAAACGAATCTGAAATTTGTTTTAAAAGGGTAATTCTCCGTCATTGTTGGCTTGCAATTTTTTACCTTGAAATTTGTCAATTAAGCAATGGGTGACAGACCGGGCTGTTAAATAAATAATAACCTTTTCTGACAAAAGAACTGGTTCCACTTTCACTATGTTGATTTCCGGTCAGATCAAAGTCCCACGATGGTTCCTTTAGGCCACAGTGCATTTTAGGAATTTTATCTACAAAAATGCTGTTTGCAACAATAAACTGCAAACAGCATTTTTGCATTTTCGCAGCCTTTTATTTGTTTGTTGCTGAAATTTTCCAATGCTTAGCTTTGGAAAAGGTGCATTATGCGACTAAGGACCTCAATATTTCAAATTACAGAGCATGTCCTGAGATTGGTTTATTTGTACCTACATGTAATCATAAAACCACATGGTCAATTGCTTGTTAGTCAAGCTTGCTGTTGGTGACACATCGAGCTTTTCCGCAACAGTTTGGTCCACAAATTCTACTGCTTGAAAGCAATGATTACTTTGGAACAAGTGAATACTTTATTGGTTAAAAAAAAGAAGAATCTTTATGTCTTGGGCAAAACTTCAATGGGGAGCCTAGCTGGTTGGGTTTTGTAGACTTTCACTGTATGCAAATGAGTCTTGAGATGAGCATGTGGTCTATTTTCAGGGATGATATAAATGACACACCATGTTCATCATGTTTTTGCTCTTTGGGAATGATGTATTTTCTCTTAAGTCGAGGCCCTTGATTTTCATTTATTAGAAACGTGTACTCAATCAATAGTCCATTTCACAGTTGCAAATGGAGTTGACCATGTTTTGATACAACCCTTCCTGCCTTATTATGTAAATGATGTCATTCTTACGCTTACTGGTATTTTTTAAACATAATTTCCATAAGAAAAGGTGGTTTGTATCAAAACAAACTCAGCCTCAGTCCCACGTTCGCTCAAAGGCTAGGATGCTAAGCTCAACTGTGAAATGCTCTATTCAGAAACAAATCATCCCAAAGAAAACTTGACTGTCGATAAAATAAAATAAAGTAGGACATGAAAAAGTTTAGCAAGGAAATCCTGTTTCGTGTAGAATAAATCCCTCCCCATAATTTCATATCTAATCCGTAACCAAACTCCACTTACCACTTTTAAGAACGTACTTGTCGAAGCATTTAACAAAAAAAAAATTAAAAGTAACATTATTTGATGTTTCTAGCATCATTATCAAGAATGAAAACCATTAAGTGTCACAAAGAGTTGAGGTACATGTATGACTTCATTAGATGATATTCATGCACACTTGATTATTATAAAGATTTCCGAATAGAAATGTTTTGCGTGAATCAAGTCTGATTGCACATTTAGTAATGGTTTAGTTCCTGTATAAACATTAAGTAAGCAAGGCACACCCATTTATTAATGCCCTTTTGAGAAATTTTCAAAAAATCGCGTGAAAGTTAGCTTTGATTCTTAACCCATGTTCTTTATTCAAAATGTGCCACCAAATCATCACATCTGAGCTATGTGTGTTTGATGATGACCTGATGAAGCCAAATGGTAGAACAGCGAGGATATATTAAAAAAAAAATTATTACTTTACTCTGATCCTCATGATTAACAATTATTCTGCATTCACTGAGTTGCTTTCTCAATGTACACTGTGAATCACCAGCAAACCGGGAGAGTCTGAGTGAGAAAATATCACCAAAAATTTTTCTTATCATGCAAAAGCTGAATTCAGTAATCATTTTAAGTTGTTATATGCCAATAAATTGGAAACTTCAACATACTCCTTGCCCATCAGAGGCATTGTTGTCCCTAAATGTCAGCTCGGCAGGTTAGGGACCATTCCTGACCGGTAAGGCAAAAAATATGCTCCAGAGGTGCACTCTCCTGTGGGGGAGGGTGAGTTGAGGGTTATGGCCCAGCCCTCCCTGGTAAAGTCTCAGGAGCTAAGTTTCCTGAAATGTCATTCCCTCATTTTAAAACCTATTTTAGTCAAATCAGTGTGATAAGCTATCAGCCTAAAAATCAGAGGTTAAAAACTTACAACAACTCTAAAATTACAATTTATTAGACTATTCTGCACAAGTATTGGGGCAACCAATTACTCTATCCACTGGATAGGGATTTATCCAGTGGATAGCACTATTCGCCTTTCAAACAACTCTTAACTGTGGTTAAGGTCAAGAAATAAGAACTGCTCTTGGGACAGGTTGCACTGCTACCATCTGATGTTCTGCCCAGTCACACTTTAAATTTACTTTGACTCCAGACAATAACAGTTACATCTGACCTTAGGTTTAATGCAATTTACGAGTTTACGATTTTTTCGAAATTCGCATCACATGTGGAACATGTGTATTGAGGTTGGTAGTAACAGTGAGGTCATTGATTGTGTTGTTGAGGTACATTTTAACATTTCCAAGCAACATGCCTTCATGCACTATCATGTTTTATTCACAAAAAACTAACATTGTGTTTATTCATCCTATGTAAGAAACTGTTAACTGTTGATGAATGGCGACAGGTTTCTCATGCAAATTAATGACAGCGAACTGCAAACTAAACAACCAATTTGGACCAGTAGCTTCAAAAAGAGAGCAAAAATCAACATGAAAGAACATCTGCAGTGCATTTCGCTTTGTGCAAGCTATGTTTTTCGCAAGTGAGTTTCAGTTCAGCTCTTTACTGTTAAAACCTTGGTTTTCCCTTTAACCTATCTTTGCATTCATGTGGCAACTAAAATAATGCAAAATATGCTCTGAAATACACATTAAAGAATCAAGACATAGGACAATGAAATAAAAAAGAAGAACACAACAGTGAAAGTGTAGGAATACTCCAACAAGATATTCGCAGCTGGTCACCCAACCAGTTTCTAACCCCTTTTGGAAGGGCTTTACTTTAGTGGCACACAGAGATTGGGACGGTTTGCGAGATGCTTATCGGCTATGTCAGCCATAAGTTTGCCTTCTACCGCCAAAATCCTGCAAAATTTCTTCAAATACATCTTCGAATTCATGATACAGACACTTCCACCAGCTTCAAACAGTGTCTATCACAGCAAAATGTCAAAAAAAAGCTTTAAATATAATAAACATAATTATTTTCCACTTCTATTTAAAAGTTGGCAGCATGGAGTAGAGGTCTAATGGAGTTGACATTCTGCACAGATGGTCTAAGTTCGGCTCCTGGCGAAGCTGTTTTTTCCTTCGTATAATTTTCCGCATCTTGTTTTTATTTTTTTCAAACATATTTTTCCCTTTGGCTTGTTTCCCTTAAGACCTTTGAGAGGTTTCTGCAATACTGTAAATGACCCAATAAATCTTCGGGTCCAAGCAAGGGTGCTTAATAAATAAGAGGCATTTAAAAGAGGTATTTATTCTTGTAAATATGTTTTTGGCAAAAATATGAAGAGAGCTTAAAACACCTCGATTTTAAAAGTCTGACGTAGGGTTCTTATTTATTTACAAAATATGCGGAAAAAGGACATATCAGAACGAATAACATTGATTTTCAGTGACCGAATTTGTAGTTAGTAAAGGAGACCAGTTATGAAAGTCGGGAAATATCAAAGATGAACATAATGGCACTGCAGTTTATGTTGGAAGCTCCCTGACCTAAATCCTTTGTTTTTTGTTCAAAAATTGTGACTGAAAAGTCACTATGTTCCTTAATTGGTCACACTAGGTGCGAGGGCGAAAAAAGGAAAGGGGGGAGGGGGAGGGGAGAAAAAAATACCCCTGCCCGATATCATTGTTCTTTTGGGAAACTCCGTACGCTGGCAAACGGAGCTCCTGATTGGTGTGGCATAGGGAAGTAGATTGATGCCTGTCAATTAACTGTAAGTCTATATTGTTTATTCCGTCTTCTGTCAGTCTTTTGGAATTGGAGCGGCTGTGAATGTCGCGTGTATTGCGTAATGAGAAAGTCAAAGCTATTTCTACACTGGTCATCAGGACAAGATTTGCTCGCAGTACTAAAACCTATACCACTTTTACCTCATGCCAAAATGCTGCTTGTTCCAATGTTTTGTTTTTTTTCTGGCGAGTAGACTATGCTCTAGAGGGTTCTATGTTTTGACTGAGCAAATGTGATTTTAGCCCCTTGTTTCACACTGAGAGGTCATGACATGCTTATTGATTTTCTGTGGTTTTTGAATTTCTGGTCTTCATGATTTGCCCGCTGATGCAAGAGCGTTTTCTTTGACCTCTTTTGAAGCATAAAGCTCTTTTTGTCGCTTAATAAGGCTGTTAGGTTCTTTATTTTTGTCCAAAGTGCCTCAGGATCTGAATAACTAAGCAATTTTCTTTCTAGTCCGAGAATGTGATGTTTTCCTGCAATGTTGTATCACATTGGGCCCAGCTCGTTAGTTTTTTAAATTGTTTGCAGGATGTTAAATTCTCACAGATAGCGATTTACAGAGATTGGCTGTGGAGAATTGCATTGTGACTCAGTCAAGATAAAAACAATGATAAACTCCAGCTTGTTTTTCTTAAGACAATGCAAGTCTTTGGACTGGAACGACTGTTTGGTTGTTTCGTTATTGTTGGCTACTCATTTTCGGAAGAGCAGTCACGCGCGTCTAATTAGGGGGTGTTTCTCATTTTCACAGTGTTTTCGGGCAGGCATTTTCTATTCTCTCTCCCCGCCCCCTCCCCGCTCCCTTTGACTCGCCCCATCTCCGCCTCTCTTTGGGAAGTTTCAACATTGCACTTTCGTGAGCATATTGCCCACTCAAAGAAAACGCCTGCACTGCAGGCTAGTAAAAGGAATGTTTACTTTACACACTATTAGAATAACTGAGAATTTAGTATTGCTATTGTAGTTAAGTGGTTGACAAGCACATTTGTGCATATTTTGAAATTAGTTATGATGTCTTGACAATATGTCATCATTAACAATTGCATTGTTTCTTTGCCTCTATATAGGGAAAATTGTTCCCTTGGGAGTTTACAGATGGACACATGCCCAGAGGAGGAAACTTCCATGTTTGGCTCACTCAGGATGTGCCGCTCTGCCAGGTATAGGTATATGGGATCTTCAAACTTAAAAAAAAAATATTCAAATTCACTATTTAACAGGTTCGCAGTTAAGCGCATGCTCATTAATTAAATTACTTTTTTCCAATCTATTATTAATTCTATCAGTAAATAATCCCGCTCACATGTATCTCAGCGACCTCAGAGTGTATTTCAAAGTAGAAGTGTATTTCAGAGTAACTTGAAGTAGGATGGAGGAGTACTAAAATCGCAGAAAAAATTAGTGGATTATGCCAGCACTACCATGTTGAATATATTGTTTGACCTGAAGGTTTTATTCCATGGATGATTAATTTACAGCTATTTGCAAATATTCAAGTTGATCAAGTGCAAGTGACTGCCAGGGGAGTGTGCAGATTGGGTTTTTGACAACATTATGACATGATCATTTTGCTTGCACAGATGATACAGCATGTTCCAGCAGAAAAACAGCATTTTGATAAATGAGCATGCACTGAACCATGAACCTGTCCTTTTAATGAAACAGGGTTGCAATTTTAATACATTTTGCCTTAAACAGGGTCAGAATCATAGGGTTTCAGCAGCACAGCCCCAACCAAACTTCCTTTAATCTTCTCCTTGGGAAAACCGGCTTCACCATTTTTTTATCTGGGTTAAAGAGAGCTTTGGGTGGAAGTGTCCCAACTATTTTGGTCTGAAACCATAGTATTTTGGAGTAATAGACCTCTTCACAGTTTTCAATGCCATCTTGATGAGTAGGCAAACAGGTGAGAAATTACAGTGTTTGTATGAGAATCTAACATTGAATAATTTCCATAAAATGGCTTTTCTGAAAAAAATTTCAACTGTAAACTAAAGCGGATCATGTTTACTGTAGGTAGTGTCGACCAATCTATCGGTCGATATAGCGGTTAATAGTCGGTTGACACTCAGTGGATATAGCGGTCAATACTTGGTCAAGACTCGGACGATAGTCGGTCGACACTTGGTCGAGACACAGTCAATAGTCGTTCCAGATGTATCTCGGCCGATATAGCTTTTCGTTCACCAATACTTCACCAACACTTCGCCGACTTTTCGCTGATAGTTGGTCGATACTTGACCAATGTATTGGTCAGTAATTGGTCAACACTCGGTCGATGGTTGGTTGACACTTGGTTGATAGTCAGAAGATAGCCGTTCGATATATCGGTTGAGAGTCGGCCGATAGTCTATCGATATATCGGTCAAGATTTTTGTCGGTCTGTATAGTTTTTGCTCCGTTACCAGTAACCCTGAAGAAGAAATTGCAGCAAAACTAAAGAAATATGAACCAATTTTAGCTGTCTGAGTTGTTTAACCGATTGACACGTGGAAATTCTTGAAAAATTCACATTTTTGGACATTTTTCGGTCAGCCCAAAAGTCGAATTCAATCTCTTTAGACTTTTCTGCTTTTTTTTCGCTTTTCCTTTTTCTCTAGTTTTTGCCAGTTGCCAGTCTGCTCAAGAATTTTCGAGGAAGCATCATCCAAAAGGGAAATTCTTACCAAGTGATGAAGAGGGAAATTTTTCCTCTGGTTTCTTCACTCAAATTTATAAACGTTTCTGTATGTATTTGAAGCTCAATATCACTCTGCTTTGGGTATCATTGCCGGTTTGGTTTCTCCCTAGTTCCCAGTGCTCTTCGGTTCGCTTCATAGAGCATGTTCCCCCATCGCATGATAACAGTAATTAATTACCTCAATGCTTAAAAAGAAAGCCATTGGACTCACCTGCTACAGGTAAATTAACACACGACTAATATTCGACCAACAGTTGACCGATATACCACCGACAGTTGACCGATATACCATCAACAGTTGACCAATATATCACCAACATATGACCAATAGTCGGTCGAGGTGCGTCGTCTAAAATAATATCGGCCGATATTCTATCCCACACTCGTCTGACTATCGACCCAGTCTCGACCGACTGTCAACCGCTATATCGACCGAGTGCCGACCAGCTATCGACGGCTATATCAACCGATATATCAGTCGACACTACCTACAGTAAACCTAAAGCTACAAAGCAAAGGATTGTACTTAAACATTTTGGGGGAGTACTAGCCTGTAAAAACATCCATTTCTCCTCGCTCTTCGCCAATGGGGACGTTTCGCGCGGGGGAACATCTGCGACTCAGCGACAGAAATTCCATACTGATGACGTAAAATCTGTCCGGAATCTGGTAAGAAGCGCTGATTGGTCGACGGAGTAGATACATTGTTTTAGCTATTGTTTATGAATGACAGACAAAAGACAAAAGGCCACAAAGGTCAAATGTAAACGCGAAGAATCTCTAACAAAACAGTCAATATTTGTGGAATATAGTCTTCTCTAGAAGAAGCATTTGAGTTTTGCTGCAGCTCGTTGGCAGATGAACACAACACTTCACCAAAATCGACCAGAAGACATGTAAAATTGGACAAATTTGTATTTGGAACCCCATGACTACTGGATTTATTATGTAAACATTGGATTGCGTCATCAGTATGGAATTTCTGCCGCTGAGTTGCAGACGTTCCTCCTCGCGAAACGTCCCCGGCGGCGAAGAGCGAGGAGAAACGGATGTTTTCGCAGGCTAGGGGAGTACCTGTGCTTAAATTTCTCGGAAGGCTTGCTTTAGATTTTCTATATATTTGTCTGTAATTTTTCCCTGGAATTTCTTACAGACAAATGGATAGCAAATTTAAAAAAGTGGTTTCAAGTCTTCCGGTGCATGTAACGCCCTCAATTTTTTTCAGTAGAATCCTTAAGAGTGAAGCTTTAGTTTATAATTCTTTTTTTTTTTTTCAGAACAGCCGCTCTACAAAAATTATTCGATTTCTCATACAAACACTGTAATTTCTAACGCGTTTCACCACTTGTCAAGTTGGCGTCGAAAACCGTGACAAGGTCTGTTCTCATAGGGGGCGTCTATTAGACAGGGAGAGTTTATTAGAGAGGGGTGTCGAATACAGTTTTGACAGCGTAGAGGGGGCGTTCATTTGGAAGTGGGTCATTTACCGTAAAAGTTTTTCTTTCTTGTCGTTTTCAATATACGCTTCCAAAGGCCTGCTGTATATGATTAGGCATAAACCCCATAAACGATCCGGCTATGAAAAAAACCGATGAGGGTGGCTTTTTTCAGGACCTGAACAATCGATGAAAATCGATGATCGGAAAATCAATCGATCAATCGATGACAATAGATTAATTACGGTTGATTAGCATCGATTGGCATCGGCCAATCGATGATCAATCGATAATCACACTTAGGTGGTCGCGAACTTTATCGATTACCATTGATTGGCACTATTCATGTCTCCGTATCTTCAGGTATCGCGGGATTGTACACAGATCGTACATTGTTTTTAAACCTCAGTAGCAAAGTTTGAGAATTGTTCATCGATGTGGCTCCGTGAAAAACAGCACAAATAATTAAGACAATTAACATATCTCGTTGTCAGTGTACAAACTTGATCGATTTCGCTTTGAGTTGATTGCAAAGATTCAACTGACCTGGGACGCAGTCGTCGTTCAAACACGATTAAGCGTATTGTTAATGTGTAATGTGTAACTTTATTAGTACTCGATGAAATTGGCAATTGAAATGTTTGACTGAATAGGTAATCGATTGATATTGCATATTGATAACAATCTATTATGTTAATTGATCGATTCCCATCGATTATCGATTGATATTGATAATCGATGATAATCAATAATCACAAAAATTTTAGTGATCGATTGTCCATCGATTATCAATATCAATCGATTAATTGATATCGATTGTCATCGATTGTTATCGATTGCCATCGATTATCGATTTCATCGATTGTTCAGGTCCTGTTTTTTAAGGTTTCTTTGCGTATTCCATACGTTATAAGCTTATACTTAAGCCTGAATTATTCAGACTTGCAAGTTTAAGGTTATTATAAGCTTAAGCTTTTTTAAAACTCAACAGAAGAGTTGAACAACTATCCTTACCCCATTGAGACCTCACGCTTTCAGGAACACTAGAGGAAAACCAAGCCGTCAAACCTTTAAACACCTCTTCCTCGTCAAACAACATCTTCACATTAGGTTGTCACATTGGAAGAAAAAGGCCAGAATAAAGTTGTCTAATACGATGAAAATGGCACTGAAAAGCTAAGGGATCAACTCCCGCAATCAAATCCCTTATGAGTTTCTGATATAGACCAATATGGCGACAACCCTTCGACATTCTTCAGCGGTCGGCCGACGCGGGCGCAGTTCCCGCCCAAATTTTGCCTAACCTCGTCCCCAGGGTCTTATCGCTTTTCAATATAGCGGTTAAAGGTCAAATGAACCAAAATTTCGACCTTTTTAAATTTAGTACAATTCTAGTGAAGTGTGCTTAATATGCACCAAATAAACATACTATGAAGTTTCAGCTCAATTGAAGCAAGTATCTCCGAGATATTCGCAATTAAAAATTGCTATTTTTTGGCCCTTATCTTCGTAGAGCGGTCGGAAAAATTGTCGGGAAAAACAGCTTGTGACGTCAATGTTGGTCAGGTGAAAAAAAGCGGGAAATTCAAAACAGAGTTTTTCGAGTTGTGCGACTTGGCGCGGAAGTGGCTTGTGCGGCCATATTAGAAAGAACAGGCAATTTGTCTTCAAAAGTTGCAAGCTGATGTTATAACCTTCTTATTATTTAATTTTCTCGAAGAATACATCATAGTAAAACGGACTTTAACGACATTTACTAATTTTCTTGAGTTGTACTGGAAATGTGCGTGCGTAAGTGCGATTTTTTTCAAGACGCATTCACAAAATAAGGTCCGGAGCTCCACCGTGGACACAAAAACAAAATATCTTTGTATAATAATCTGCCCAAAGAAATTCAAGTTTGTCCACAAACTTGTTTGAATTGTCACTGAACTTTGTCGCACTCGAGCTGATATTTTAAAACCCACGCGCGATCGGACACTTCTAGCTTGGCGGATCACTAAAACATAAACAAAATCCTCAATGTAGAAGTTTTGGCGTTGATATGTGGGCAGAAAAAGAGTTAATCATTATCTAGTAAATCTTCCCCAAGATCGGTTTCAAAGAAACCATAGTTTTTAAACTTGATCGTTTCGTGCAGATTAATTTTGCTTTGTGTTTTCAAATTGAACATGCATAACACCTGTCAAAAACCTACGCGTAAGTAAGACTTTCTTCAGACAAAGTTGAAGTTACATTATTGCAAAAACTTCTTTCCAATTATGTATAAGATTTAATTACCGATTGAGGTCACTTTAAGGACCATAGACGCCACTTTAAGCTGGCAAAGAGATGCTACAAGCAAAGAACAATTCCATCATGCATAAAATTCAGCTTAAGTGAACTAAAAAAATCTCCAATAACGTTGTAAAACAACAAATTTTCATTAAAAAAACATAAGGCTTAAGGCTCTTATACCCGCTGACAAAGAAGAAGTGATTTTTCTGTATGGAAACAACCTACCTAAAGATCAGTTGCACGCTTCGAAGCCAAACCATGATTCCGACTACTTAGCTAGATTTGCTACTTTTAATAACTGGTCCATGCGAGGGTCTTCATTCAAGCAAATTAAACTCAGCAAACTGAATCATTAGAAAATACAGAAAACTGCACGTAAGGATTTGTTTTGCTCGCTTTAGTCAAATCCAGCTCCAGCAATTGTTTACGGGCAAAGAGTCGATTGTTTTGGAGTCACTGCCGGCAGTTGTCATTCTCCGCTACTTCACAGCGAGTGAAAGAAAAATTTGCTTACAGAAAGATAACAAAACTATGTAATTAAAACAGAAAAAACTACAGGAAAAAAACTCTGGCTATTATTACTTGAGCAACAGAAAAATGATCCAAGTAGTCTTTTCTTTTCGAGTAAGCTTGCTGGCCTTCTATTATAGTTCCGAGAAAGTTTTTAAAACTTAGAAGCTAGCTTAAAAGCGCACAAGGTTGTTCACTCGCATGCGTTAGCCGTTCGGTTCTTTGACTGAAGACAAGGATAAAGCTGATTCTGCAAAGGTAAATAAAACTGGGCATGTAAAAAAAGTAACCATAACTACCAATAACAGAATACAAGCAGGTTTTAATTCAACCCGGCGAAAGTAGGCGAAGCACTGGACACAAAATCATCTCACAAATCGAATGCACAATTTAATATCAGAAAAATACAAACCTGTTTAGAAATGTTCAAAACGTTTTATTCCACCTCAGACTGACGGAATGATCTGTTTTTAATCTAACATTGGTTGTTCTGAATCCAAAGAAGTTTTCAAGTGACGAAAAAACAACAACAACAAAAACAGAAAAAAGCCTTTACAAGGAGCAAACGTTTGCACCTCGTGTATTTCATTCAGTCTCAGTCAGAACTCTTACAGAACGAGACAAACAAACGCAGGCGATAAGAGATGCGCAGAAGCTTGCGCAGAACGTTTTTCCGCCCTGAAAAGACCAACATTAACGTCACGTAGTCTCCAGTCTATCATGCGGCCATTTCAGAAACGTTTTCGTGAAGTCTTCGGAAATGCTCGGATTTTGATCTTTTATCTTTCTATGAAGGCTTGGGAAGAAAAACCTTTACCCAAATCTCACTTAGGATGGTTCTTTTTAGTGTTTGGTAAAGGTGAAGCGACAAAAGAAAATATGTCAATTTTTTGGTTCATTTGACCTTTAAAGGGACAGTGTCCCGATTATGCGCACGCGCGAGCGTCATCTGTTTTTTCTTCAAAAGACAATAGAACTGTCAAATTGACTCGACAAGATTTCGTTCCGGACCGCACCGCCGACAGAGATTTGTTGTTTATGTTCTCAAGTAATATTTTAGACTTTCGAAGAAGTCTTTCGTCTTATATAAAAATTTGGCTCGCGGTTCGAAGACTCATCGCGATTTTATCGCTAGCTGGGCCGCCTCGCGACCCGAAAATCTCGTTCCGCTCGCTTTAAAAACATATTTTCTAATTTGAAACTCGTGTCAGAGGTCAATCGCTCCAAGTCCAGTAATATCTGCCTGATTTTCTCGCGTTCTAGTCTCAAACGCTTGAAAGACATAACTAAAAATGCAATCTCAACGCTATGAATCATCACAAAGGTTAGTCAAAAATGATATTATGATTTCATGTCAATAGTTTTTCAAAAGATGTAGCGCCTGTTTGTTTGATTTTGTCGGCCGTAGGGAGATTCATTTAAAAGTTTACTAACGCGTCGTTGCAAAACATTCTGCTTCACGAAGAAGATCTCCTCAGTCACATCAATGTCTCAACGGTTTCTTTCTTACAGTCTTTATTGTTGCTGTTTCATTTCTGCGTATTCCTTTCACAATTATCTGAGCTTGTATGGAAGCTAGCAGAAGAAATAAGCCTTCAATCGGCATTAAAGTGCTTTCAATCTTTCGGTCCTCCGGCCAACGGCAATAAAAGTAACGCCAAAAAATCCAGATTTTGCTCAAATCGAAACTTAACAGGAACAATATATCATTTATCTATAATCCTGAGAAGTTTTAGTGTCGTATTGAACCCGGCCAAGCGCGATGCAAACGGATTTTTCAAGATTCTCTTACTCTCCTCGCATCTTTTGATTTCGCGACATCCTGTCCAAAACTCACAGTTTGGTGCATGCGCAGTAACGGGATACTGTTCCTTTAAGGTCAGCACCAGGGCGGATGGTCAGCACTCGTTAACATCCGTGCGTCTGCGACTCAGCAACAGAAATTCCATACTGATGACGTAAAATCTGTCCGGAATCCGGTCAGAAGCGCTGATTGGTCGACGGAGTAGTTACATTGTTTTAGCTATTGTTTACTAACGACAGACAAAAGACAAAAGGCCACAAAGGTCAAATGTATTAAAACGCGAAGAGTCTCTAACAAAACAGTCAATATTTGTGGAATATAGTCTTCTCTAGAAGACGTATTTGAGTTTTGCTGGAGCTCGTTGGCAGATGAACGCAACACTTTACAAAAACCGACCACAAGACACATAAAACTGGACAAATTTATATTTGGAACCCCATGACTACCGGATTTATTATGTAAACATTGATTTGGGTCATCAGTATGGAATTTCTGCCGCTGAGTCGCAGACGTTCCTCTGCGCGAAACGTCCCCAGCGGCGAAGAGCGAGAGAAACGGATGTTTTCGCGGGCTACTATTTACGTGTTTTAGGGGTGAGAGAGGGTGAGAGAAGATTGGGGTAGGCCTTGGCGGATTGTGCTCCTAAAAGTGGCATATTATGCTGCTAGCAGTCCTCGAAATTTTTCTAAATTATGCTGGAATTCCCGAATTATGCTCCTGATTTCCGAAATTATGCTCACAAAATGACGTAGATTCTGTAGATATAGGCGCGCAATAACGACACCAAATTATGATGTTTTCAAATAAACTGTTGTTGTAAATTTATTTGTGTTTTATGGCAGTTTGTCTCGGTCCTCAGCTGTCCAAATTAGCCGCTCACATCTCTGAACCGTTTGTAAAATGCCTTCAAAGACTTAACGATCACACTTGTATATACTGACTGAACCAAAAGAATATAATACTCTGTTGATTTAAACTAACTCAAACTATAGCGAACTATAACGCTGAAAGTATCAAGCCACGAAGTAAATCAACTTGTCTTGACAGTTCTGAGTTCTTTCGGGGCCAATAATTGCTTGAATAAACATGGATAAGAATAGTATACACAAGTCAACATCAGCGCTTTTTGCACTGCAACATTACGCTGGCCTGGAGATAGTCTGCCAGAGCGCTGTCCTGCTGAACGTTAAATGCCGCTGAGAGTAGGGAGAAGGCTCGCACAGCTGCAGCAGAGGAGGGCTGCACCAATAGAACCTGCTTCACTGCGGCTGATTCTTGATAACTCTCCTCTAAGCTCCTCTACATGAGCAGAAGAGCTCTGGGTCGAGATGAAAACCAATCTCGACCCCAACTTACCCAGTAGAGCCAGTAGAGAGATTAAGATTCACGTTTACCTCAAACGGCAAACGTCAGACTCCAGTTGAGAATTTCTCAGAATAGAAAATAAGCGGATAACACCAGTCCCGAACGATTCCTATGGTTAAAACTGGCATAAAACTACTTATTTTTGTGTAGAGGCAATAAAGAGTAAACGGACGGACGGGCGGGCGGGCGTACTGTCACGTGTTTACCACATTTTCTTAGCTATACGGCTCCGCCCACGCGAGTTCGCTATAATTATTATTATCATTATTCATTCAAAATATTTCCCCGATTCTGATTGGCTAAAAGCACAAGCACAATTCACCATAACCAGTTACTGATGAACAAATTTGGAAGAATTTTGTGTTTAACTAGGAAATGACGTCAAAAATGCAGCGTTCTTTCAGGTTAATGCACCGTTAACCGAGAAGACCTGGGGACGAGGTTGAGTTGTTTTGGTTGTGAAAACAAACAATGGCGGACATTTCACTCTTTTCAAGAGAAAGAACTAGGCGAAATTATAGCTAAAACATTGCAAGAACAGCAAGAACACAACTCGAAGGGCGACATCTGCTATTTGGAGAAAATTTTAGGGCTGAAAAACCCTAAACGTGCACTATCGAAGGTGAACTTAACATCGATGGAGGTAAGCATGTTTTAGCTTTGTTTTTAAACTAGGAATTATTTTGAATGAATAATAAAACAATTATTGAATTCGGCTTTCGTTTCATATGAAGAGTTATGGAGATCTCGGAGGGTGTTATCATCGTCGGCCCACGGCCTCGACAAATAACACCCTCCTCGATCTCCACAATTCTTCATAAGATACTCAGCCTCATTCATTAACTGTTTAGTATTATTTTTTATGGAATCAACTATCTTCCATTTCAAAAAAAGATGACATCATAGAGGTTACTTTATCTCTTTATATATATTTGTATATTGGTTTAAGTCTATGGAAATTTGTGAAACTGGCGTAACTGAAAGAAATGTGTGTGGGTGTGGGGTGGACGTGTAGATGTGTGTATTCTTGCTAAGTAGGCATTTGTATTCACTCTTAATCTATATAGTTACATATGTATATAGTTACGACTGGTTTTAAGTCTATGGGAATTTGTAAAACTGGCGTAACTGGTGAAAGAAATGTGTGTGTGTTGGGGAGGAGGGGCGTTGGATGTGTGTATTCTTGCCAAGTAGGCACTTGTGTTTACTGTTAATCGATGTAGTTAGTAAAGCTGCCTATAAAAAAAGCAATAAAAAGTAAATAAATAAATAAATAAATGTGTCCACTCTCCTAAACAGTGGTGCTGATCACAACGAAATTCAGGAAACTGGAAGGGGCACAACGATGCCTGCCAACACACAGGACTCCTGCTCGAGTGAAGGCAAAGACGAACTCGCCAAATTAGCCCTTCATCAAACCAAAGAATATAAAGCGAGCAGCCCAGTCTCAAAACAGTTAGCTGAGATTATAAATAAAAGATGGGCCTCAAAACTAAAGGAAAAACAAGCTCAAGGAACTGAGCGAGAAATACGACCTCCCCGAAAACCGCGGGAAACTCGCTGTTCCTAAAGTTAACGCCGAGATATGGGGGAAATTAACCCATTATGGGAAAAAGTAAGACCTCAGCTTGTCTGCCATTCAGAATCTGCTGGTCAAGGTAGGAGCGGTAATTGCTCAATCTCTTGCTCGTTCGGTGCGGGGGTTGGCTCACGAGTTGTGAACAATGTGTAAGAGAACGGCCCCATCCTCTATACTACTCTTGTGTCAAAAGTAAACATCCCATTTGTCAACACAATCGCAAACAAAACGAAAACCGGCGAAAACCGGAACGTAGAAAAAAGGTTATCGTTTCAGCAACCAAGAGCATGCACCATTGTCACAAAAACCCCTAACGCTTGAAAGGTCGTTTTCAGATAGGAAAACCAATTAGAGAAATGAATTATTACAGTATATACATGTTTCTTATGAATAAGTCTCGTCGTGAATTTTACACAGATTTTGTCAGCAACATTTCTGAAGATCAACGCAAGCTTTTTGCTGCTACAGAGAAACTGTTCAATCAGACAGCAGATACGCCTTTTCCACCCCACGGCGATAAGTTAACCTTGGCTTATGACATGGGATCGTTCTTTATTAAGAAAATATCGGATCTTCGTGTTAGCCTTGATGCAACTGAGAATTTGTGCAACACTGTTAACCGCCATTCTTCTCATTGTTCTTCGTCCTTTACTGCTTTTCGCCAGTAGTATAAGGGGGCATGTGGATGAACAAAAGTGAGGGGACATCGGGGACATCGGGGATACTGGAAAAAACCAGTATCACCAGCAAGTCAGTCAAGTCAATCTGGTCTTTGTTCTGTAACCATTTTTGCATTGTCAAGGTTAATGTCAAGAGTTAATTCTATCGAGTGAATTTCCAAAACCTAACTAAATGTCCTAGCCCTAACTAAATGTCTTAAACCTAACTAAATGTCCTAGCCCTAACTAAATTTGCTAAACCTAACTAAAATCTGTTGGGCGCAGTGTTTAGACCTAAATCAGTTGGTTGCAGTGTTTAGAGCTAAATCAGTGGGGCGCAGTGTTTAATCTGTTGACGTAGTGTCATTTTCCAAAACCTAACTAAATGTCCTAGCCCTTTCTAAATGTCCTAAACCTAACTAAACATCAGTTGGGCGCAGTGTTTAGACCTAAATCAGTTGGGCGCAGTTTTTAATCTGTTGACGCAGTGTAAATTTCCAAAACCGAACTAAATGTCCTAAACCTAACTAAAATCGTTTACTTTTTCTGTTTTAGACCTAAATCTGTTGGGTGCAGTGTTTAGAGCTAAATCAGCTGGATGCAATGTTTAGGATTAAAACTTTCCCTTACTCTAAAATCTTACCCTAACACAAACTCACGGTTGAGTGATTACAGGCAAGTTTGAACAAGCCCATTGACGTCACCTTTTGTTTTGTTGAGTCAGCAGAAATTGATACTATTTTTAGAACAGAGGGCTAGCGGGGGATATAAAAGCGGGACAGCAACACATACAGATCATTTGATTACAATTCGTTGAACTGTGCAAACCTCTCATCATGGCAATTACTTACCCACGTCCTTGTCCTATCTGTGGAACCAAAATTAAGAATCGAGGAAATTTCTTCCGTCACAAAAAGTATTGCGGTACTAATACAAGAGTACCATGCCTACATTGCGAAAAAACGTTTTGTCGTAAAGACAAAATGGTGGCTCACGTCAAAAAATACCATTCTGAAACAGCAAAACGAAAAGCAGAGGAGTCTGCCGAACTAACAAGGCTGGAATTATTGCATGCCAGCAAAGTACCTAGACTGGGTAATGAGGAACAGACTGGCGGAGCAGTGACCACCCGTGGAACCAAGCGTTCAGCTGAAGATTCCAATCCTGATGTGAAAGTTACAAAGATGGATTCCCAGGGCAATGAAGCCAAGACTGATGGCGGTACGGGTCCGTTGTTTCAAGCCAACATTGCCAAAATGGGGACACCTAAAAATGGAAAAAAGGCAAAGTCATTGACCAGAAATTTACGTTTACATTGGATTACCTACGCGACCCAAAACCAGACGAAGATTTAGGGGTAGAAGCAGTTTATGCGTTGACCGAAGGAATGGATGCTATGATGGAAGACATGGAGATTGACCTAAAGAACTATGGCCTGGCACTTCAAATTGGAAGCAAGGAACATTTCAGAGTCCAGCAATACCGGTGAAACATGGCATATCCCTGCCGATGATTACTTTCACCGTTTGCAAATGACGCAGTCGATGTTAGGCCATATTGCGAGGGTCTTGAATTCGGGGGAATTTATTTCGTCCGACAGAGGCTTTTCAGCCCCCATGACTCTTTTACGTCGTGATTTGAAAGGAGGAAAACGATCAGGATACAAACCTGGTGAGCGTATTTGGGAAGAAGTGGTCAAAGAATTGCGCTGTGTCCATGAAATCAAAAACAAGGATGAATTGTGCTGTGGCCGTGCTATAGTCGTCATGCGAGAACATGCCAAGAAAAAAGCAGGCGAAAAAAAAGAACTGTTACGAAAATATTCGCCAAGATCGAGGCAAGAACAGCCAGCAACTGAAAGAAGCCAAACAGTTATACACAGTGGCAGGTGTTCCAGAAGGATCATGTGGGTACGAAGAAATTCAAAAATTTCAAGACTATTTGGGTCCTATGGGTTACCAGCTGATTGTCGTTGACCCAGTACGTGGTGGTGTCATATTTACTGGAGAACAATACAAGTTTGCGCCTAAAGTGATTCAGATTGTAAAAACCTATTATGAGGACAGTGATGGAGAAACCAAAGCCCATTGCGATGGCGTGTACAGTATTGCAGCTGTGATGAACCGTAGCAAGTTTTGTCGTTATTGTTGCAAGGGTTACAATACAGAAGACGCAAAGCACCATAATTGTTTGCATCCCAATTGCCCTAGCTGTATGCGTCGTAGGAACAAGACATCAAAGGGGTGTCCTGACTACACCGGTTGGAGTAAACCAACCATCACCTGTCGCAAATGTTGCAGATCATTTTATGGGGAAGATTGCTACCGGGACCATTTGGTTCAAAAGAAACAAGAAGAAAGCAAGATGGAAAAAGACTTAATAAAAGAAGTATCGTTGGATAATGATCTGACGATTCCACTGCAGAAACCGTTGAAAAGTGTTTGCGAGATGCATCGTAAATGTAACACCTGTTTGGGTTCTTACAAAGTGAAAGAAGGAATGACTCATAAATGTGGTCATGGACAACGTTCTAATTGCTTAAACTATGTGGATCTGTATAACCACCGATGTTTTATTATGAGTGACATCTACAAGGCAAATAAACGTTATGACAACAAACAAAAAGTAGAAGAAAAGATTCTGCAAGCCATCAAAGAAATGACGACTGAAGACGGGGGAAAAGTGAAAGACGTTGCAAAAAACCCTATTACGAGGAGAGAACAGGAAGAGGCCTATCTAAAAGAACACCCACCAACACAACCAGTAGATAAAAAAAGTAGACAAGAGTCCATCGAGAGAGTTAAGAAACAATTACAAGATTTGGGCGTGGATGTGACAGAGATTCCCGAGGATCAATTAGAAGAGTTCCAAGGGGATCATTACATGCTGACAGAAGGGAAGAAAGACAAGCACAGAGAGTTAGTGTTTGCAGACATCGAGTGAAGTATTGACAACAACAGACAATTTACCCCGAATCTCATCTGCTTTGAACGTGAAACGTCAGACAAGAAATACCACTGTTGGGGTAGGACATGTATACGTGACTTTCATAACAAGCTAATGACTGCGCTACAAGAAATAGAAAAAGAAAACAATTTGCGATGGAATCAAGTAGAAATGCAAGTATACTTCCATAATTTCCGTGGATTTGATGGCATGTTTATCATCAAACAGCTGTATGACATGAATATCAAGGTGTCTAAAATTCTGATGACTGGTCAGAAGATTTTGTACTTTGAATGTAACAGACTGAAGTTTAAGGACTCTATGTCTTTTCTAAATATGCCGTTGGAAAGTTTCACCAAGACGTTTGGTTTGACGGAACTGAAGAAGGGGTACTTTCCTCATTCATTTAACAGAAAAGAAAACCAGAATTACGAGGGCCTGATTCCTGACCTGAAGTATTATGAGACTAATTGCATGAACACTAAGAAAAAAGAAGCTATAGAAAAATGGCATGGCGAAGAAGTATTGAAAGGAGAAAGCTGGAACTTTAAAAAGGAATTGTTGGAGTACTGTGAAAGTGATGTCAAGTTATTAAAGGAAGGTTGTCTAGCCTTTGCAGCTGATTTTGAAAAAGAATGCAAGTTTAATCCGTTGAAAGAAAACATTACCATTGCCAGTGCCTGCCACAAACAACTTTTGGCGGAATAACCAAATGATTCCCTACTCCATTGCTGTCGAAGCACCCCATGGATGGAGTGGAATAAAGCCAGCACAGAGCAAGATTGTATTTCAGTGGTTGCATATCCAAGATCAAAAGCTGGGTGGCAACAGAATCAAACATACAGCGAATGGCGGGGAACAAACTCTCATGATAGAATCGTGGGGAAAAGTATGTGTAGATGGCTATGATCCCCTCAAGAAAACAGTCTACGGGTTTCATGGCTGTCCTAAATGCAAGAAACAAAGACATGTTAAAACTTGGCACCATCCAGACCGTACGGGGGATGAAATGTTGGAATTAACAAAAAAGAAGACAGACGTGTTGAGGAAAGCAGGTTACACCGTAAAAGTGGAATGGGAATGTAACTTCAAACAAAAACTTGCAGCTGATCCAGAGTTACAAGACATGATCAAAGATTTGCAATGGACGGCTCCTTTAAACCCAAAAGAAGCCTTGTTTGGTGGACGTACTGGATTAAGTTGTTGTTATCACAAAACAGTCCCTGACGAAAGAATTGACTATGTGGATTACACATCATTGTACCCGTGGGTCAACAAATATGGAACGTATCCCATTGGACACCCGACCATCATGAAAAATCCATCTGATCAGAACAATGACAATTACTTTGGTATCGCTAAAGTAGATGTGTTGGCTCCAGAAAAATTGTTTCACCCCGTATTGCCTATGAAAATTGGTGACAAATGTATGTTTACTCTGTATGCTACCGGTGCCCAAGAACAGCTAGAAAAACCATGGCATGAAAGAAGTAATCTTTGCAAACATACAGACCACGAACGTCAAATGACGGGTACTTGGTGTACAGAGGAACTGAAAACAGCGGTTGAAAGGGGATACGAAATACTAAAAATTCATGAGGCGTGGCACTGGGGAGAGAACCAGAGAAAAAGAGGGTTATTTGCACCCTACGTCAACAAGTTTTTGAAGGCCAAACAGGAAGCCAGTGGCTGGCCGTCAGACGTAGAAACAGACGAACAAAAAGCCAAGTACGTCAGTGAGTATGAAATGCATGAAGGCATTCAATTGGAACAAGACAAGATTGAGATCAATCCAGGCCGGAAAGCAGTGGCTAAAGTGATGTTGAACAGCTTTTGGGGTAAATTTGGAGAAGCTGACAACAAGCCAACTACCAGTACATTGCAGAAAGTAGAAGATTGGGAAAAACTAATAAATGATGATACGGTGATTGTAAAAAGTGTCAATGTTTACAGCGAAGAAGTGTTGGAGGTCACAACAGTAAAAAAAGAAGGCGCATGTGACCCGAATGTGAAAGGCAATATTTTTATCGCTTTGTTCACAACAGCTATAGCACGCCTCAAGCTATATGAAGCTTTGGATGAATTGAAAGAAAGAGTCCTGTATTATGACACAGACTCTGTCATCTCCAAGAGCAAACCTGAAGATGAGACATTACCACTGGGTAAATTTTTGGGGGATTTTACAGATGAGACCGGTGGAGACACAATAGAGTTCGGATCAGCAGGACCAAAATCCTACAGTTACAAAACAGGCGGTGGAAAAACAGAATGCAAGAGCAAGGGGTTAAAAAACACTCACGCTGTCAGAGAAGTGTTGAATTGTGAGGCAATGTTGAAACACATTCAGCTAGAACTGAAAGACCCAGAAGAACACAAGCGTCAGTTAAAAACCACAATTTTTAATCATTTTGTCAGGAATAGTAAAGTCAAAAGCATTTATTTGGAGGATATGATCAAGATATTCCAAGTCAATTGGGACAAGCGTGTGATAGAAAAGACCACAGGAGTGACATACCCCTATGGTTATTTGAGATTGTAATTTTTGTAAAAGTTTTATACATTTTTGAGAACAAAGTTTGCTCGGTAGCGCGAGTTTTCTTAGTGTTTTATACAAAGTTTTGTTGTCAGAGCAAAGTTTGCTTGGTAGCGCGAGCTCTAGTTTATAGTGCTGTAATAATGTAAGGTTACAATAAAGTGTGTTACAAAAAAGACATGTGTGGGGTTATTTGGGTAAAAATTTCCCAATCCTTCAACCAAAGAGAAAATTTCCCAAACCTAAGACCAAAGAGAAAATTTCCAAACCTTAAAAACGAAAAACGAAATTCCTTCGATCGCAGTCCTTAGGCTTAAACCAGTATGGTGTTACAAAGTTAAGCCCTAGCCCCTTGGGATTAGGGTTAGAGTTGGAGTTAGGGTTAAAATGCTAATAACGTTGGGGTTAAAATGTTAATAAGCCCTAGCCCCTTGGGATTAGGGTTAGAGTTGGACTTAGGGTTAAAATGCTAATAAGGTTGGGGTTAAAATGTAAATAAGCCCTAGCCCCTTGGGATTAGGGTTAGAGTTGGAGTTAGGGTTAAAATGCTAATAAGCCCTAGGCGCATGGGATTAGGGTTAGAGTTGGAGTTAGGGTTAAAAAGATAATAAGCCCTAGCTCCTTGGGACTCGGCTTAGGGTTATTTAGTGATGACCTGACATTTTTCAACGATAAAACAAGTGCGAATGCAAGTGTGGGGAAGACAAGGTAAAATGCAGTCGGTGTCTATGCAAGATTTGGAACAAATAGCCTATTGGCAAGAAAAACGTTTCAAAAGCGGACATGGGTATAATCTGTACAACCCAGTGATTTCAGTGGAGTTAACAGTATACCTGCCAACTCTCACGCCTTAGGCGTGAGTCTCACGCCTGCGAGTTGAAAACTTCGATCTCACGCCCGCTCACGCCTGCGGACCAATTTCTCACGCCTGATTGAAAAATGTGAGTTGTTGCCGTCTTGCTTGACACAATTTCCAAAAATATGTTAACTCAGACCCATGTAAGGAACGAAAACCATGTGTAAAATGAATAAATGACAATACCTTCCTCGCGATCTCTGATTTTTGAAGTGAAAAGCTCTGGGAGCGAGCTCGCCTTTGGCAGACTTATGCAGACTTCGGACGTCTTCGGAAGACTTCGGACTTCTTCGGGAATCTTCGCAAATGATCGTGTCGTCTTCAAAAATCCCAGCACTCCCAGGATAAAAATCTCACGCTTATATCTCAGAAAAAGTTGGCAGGTATATAACAGAATTCGCAGACAGAGTGGTTGGAAATAACGATGCTATGCAAGAAGAAATTCAGCTGGAACTCACAGTGAATCAACACAGAGTACCAGAAAAGAATGAAGATTTGTTGATGTCTATGAGCGATGGTTTATTACGTGCAGTTCAACATTGGGTGACAAGTCGAAGATTATCGATGAAAACAAGATTATATTTGACGTTACATGCAGTAGAGCCGATTGCTCTCCCCATCACAAAATGTTTAGGAGTGCTGACTAATATTCCAGTGTTTGCCTTCTTTCCATGGACGGTGTCATTATCACACACAATGTTAGCCATGTTTGATTGGTTGAGTTATAATTGGTTATTGGCTAAACTGCTTTCACCGACTAATAACATAAAATTGGTTATCGCGGTCATTTACGAAAAAACATGCCTAAACATATAAGATCCCAAGGGACTATCACGCTCAGACTTGCCCGTTGACGTCATTGCCCCAGGGAACATTGATTGAGTATATCAAGGTATTGGAATTTGGGTCAAACAACAGATTTGCAACATGCCAAAAGTCACGTATCCAAGACCGTGCCCATCCTGTGGAAAAGAATTTAGCAAAAACTATTCCTTTTATCATAAGAAGCAATGTGGTACAACAGAGAATCGTTATCAATGTCCATACTGCCCTCTTTCGTTTTCACATCTAAGTCACAAACTGTGTCACATACGGCAGCAGCATTCGAAGAATCTGCAAAGGTTTACTTGTCCTAAATGCAATCAAGTATTCACAAATAAAAAGAGAATGAAAACTCATTTGGAAACCGTTTGTAGTGAGGTCAAACTATGCTACAAATGTTTCTTTTGCAACGCATCATATACAAGACAGGACAGCAGGCAAAGACACATGCGAAAAGTTCATGGATGTGTTGCAGGGAGCAAGAGGTCAATTTGTTTCTCCATTTGCAACATTTAAGCGAAGAACCTGACTGCAAAGACGAGTGGATGTTTGTGGAATCACGCCCGATTGAAGAGAACGAACACAAGATTTGCCCCTGCGGACAAACACACATAAAGTCTTACTTTTTTCTGGAAAACAAGATCAATGGAAACCGTACCTTTGTGGGTTCAACATGTATTAAGAACATTGATCCTAGAGTGGGTAACGTGATTGCTTATTTCAGCTATATTCTAATATACCCCATACAAGGGACATATCAAGGAAAAAACGACGAACGTTTACAAGGGTTTACAGTTATGCCAAACACATTCCTCGTTAGAGGTTCAGAGGTCGTGGAACATTTAAACCCTCAAGTCACCAAAAACTTAAAAAATGAGCACGAGGTCTTGGTGAAACACTCCAGACCAGAGACTCTGATTCAAGGACAAACGTATGACCTACGATTAAAAGCGAAGTATGTTCGAGGACAGTTAACGTTTACTGCATTGTAAATTTTTTTTTTCACTAGACACGTAACTAGTTTTAGGAGGTCAATAAAAAATCACACAAAGTTTACAGTTGAATCAGGTGTTTTTATTTTTACCGACTACTGTTTAATTGTTGATAGAGTTGGGCATATTTAGACTGCAAATCAGTGAGTTCCTGCATGAGTTGTGCCACAGACAATTTCTGGGGTTTTCTAGGTAACTGGGAACGTGTACTTTCTCGCTCCTTTTTCATGGCTTGATAACTGGTTTGATCTTGCACAAGTTTCTTCTCCTCATCCAACAACATTTGGTCTAAAATGACACAATGGACTTGTTCACAGGCCGCATTGACAACTGCCTGTGTTTCTGGCGATTCCATCTTGGGGTAGGGTCGTAATGATTTGAATCGTTTAGGAAATGTGCCCTTCTTGAGATGGTTTTTGAATCCTTTGATGGCTTTTTCACGATACTTAACGCGGGCTTGGATGGCTTGCAATTTTTGACGATAACTTTTTAGTGTAGATTTCTTACTTTTTAAGGTAGGTTCCATATTTTTCTCAGGGAGTTCAGATGAGGTGTTTTCTTGGATAGGTTCACACACAGCAGGAGGGTTATTTTCTTGGATAGGTTCAGACACAGTACCTTCGAACACAGACATGTTACCTTGACAAGAGGTGAGATAAAAAGGTATCATGAAGATAGGACTGCATGAGGAGTGGTCTCCAGTAGAGGAGCCATGGAATGAAAAAGACATGTGGTTTAACCATGAGCAAACAGAAAGAGAAATGTACCCTGAGAATCAGGAGAATTGCCATTGGATGGAGTTAGCATTGGATGATCCCTTGTTTCAAGTCAGTTATACTCAAATATTTGGTTCTAATTTATATGTCGTGGATATAACCCAAAAACCTCCGTCGAAAGAAGGTATGATAAATATGGATTTGAAATAGTGTATCCTATATACCACGGATTGAATGACATTATTGAATTAACAAAACCTTCCAAGACATCCAAGATTAAAATCAGAGCCTCCTCCAGAGAACATTGGGAGGTCGTCTATACCTGTGAATTCCGCGTAGATCAGTGGTCTTATAACAAAATGGATGAAATCATGGACGGGTTAGCGGATCAGCTTACTATGAAACAAAACTTGAATGGAGGTTTGCTCATGCAGTTGTCTTTCAATGAGTAGATTGAAGTCAAAATTTGCAGTCAAAGTTTGCAGTCAAAGTCAACAACTAAAAATCTTATGTGTGAAAAAGTCTACAAAAATAAAATTCTTATGTGTGAAAAAGTCTACAAAAATAAAATTCTTACGCGTGAAAAAGTCTACAAAATAAAATTCTTATGGGTGGAAAAAGTCTGCAACTTACAAATGTGTCATCCAAAGGTCCCAAGGCCCCTACGAAAAATTCTTAAGGCCCAAGGCCCCTACAAGGCCCCTACAAGGCCCCTCAGACCACCAAGGGCCCGGGGCCTTAAAGGCCCCTAAAATTATCAAGGTCCCAGTCACCTTACAAGGTCCCTCACATTTTAATGGGTCTAAAAAACTATAAATAGAACGAATTCATTATGTTAGTCATCACAATCATTTGTGTTAAGACTTCGTAGTGTCAAGATGCCTTACTGCCACAGACGTGTGTGTCCTATTTGCGGAAAACAGGATTTACTAAAGCTAAGCGAACACTTACGTCAGGTTCATCATTTGTCTAGCGATGAGCGACCATTGTACTTGAAGAACGCTACATTTTCACAGTCGTTCTCACCAATTCTTAATGCTTCAGGATGTTTAGAGATACAACCTTACCCTGAGTTTAAGTTTCAACACCCTGCATCAATGATGGTCGTAGGACCTACTCAGAGTGGGAAATCCTATTTTGTGGAACAATTGCTTTCAAGCAAACGTATCAAATACCCAAGTAGGAAAACCACAAAGATTCAATGGTTTTACACCCAGTGGCAACCACTGTATGAACGCATACAATCGACACTCGGGAAAAGTATTACGTTTGCTCAAGGTATACCAGTAGTAAACGACAATTTAGAAAACATCAATGATCAGGTTCATAACCTATGGGTGTTTGATGACTTGATGGAAGAAGCTGTGCAAAGTCCACTCATATCTCAGCTGTTTACTCGTAGCCGTCATCGTAATTTAAGTGTCATTTTACTGTTACAAAATATGTTTCCCAAGGGGAAATTTAATACCAACATTTCACGAAACGCCCTATACATGGTATTGTTTCGTAGTCCTAGTGATCGAAAACAAATGGACATCATGGCGGAGCGAACATTTGCGAAGGATAGACCGAAATTTATGTCTGCTTATATGAAAGAAACCGAAAAACCCTACGGGTATA